CTATGTTCCTCTGGAGATTCTAACTCGGAGATATGAGCCTTTATTTATGTACGTGAATTGTAAATGTAGATAAAATCTCCATCCTGTCACCCAGAAGGGACACTTTCTTCCAGTTGCATCGCCGATTTCACTAGAAATCTTTGTCCAAAACACCATCATGTTTTCCAACAAGATTACGTTGCACCTATTTACCTGATTGAACTGCGTTTCTTTAGTAAAGCGGAAACGAGATTACAAAGCACATGCAAAAAACAAAACCATTTTTATGTGGCAGCACTTGCTACTGAGAAAAGCCATTAAAATGTTTCTGATCATCACTTTCTTTAGTCTGAGAAATAAAAAGAAATGTGTAGGAAGAGTTTCCTGCGCTGTTATGAAATGCTGTAAAAGGGAGAGTTTGGATTTAAGTGAGTCTGTTCTGCAGCAGACAGGGCCAGCGGTTTATCCAATAGATTACATTTCACTATACAAAACCGAACACTACAACAAAGTCAAGCACTCCAAACATTTGAGCTTCTTAAGTTGCCATAAAAAAAGTGCATTATTCTTGAAAACGTCGAGATTTTCACAGAAAGGTTGACATTTTTATTTCTTTTCCGACGAGAAAACATGAAATGAAAGGTTAACTATCAGAATGCTGCAGCTCTTTGCAGGTTACGCTTAAATCCTTACATTTCTGGTGTCTGTGATGACAGAGGCATGAAGTTTTCCGGTTACCAGCATTACCTAATCAAAGCTGACTGCTGTGTAGCTTTGGGTCCATTTTTACCCAACAAGAAGAAATTTAGCTCATAAAAAGTTGCACTGGATGGTGTTTCCAGGCAGAAACACGGGACCGAGCTCTCATCAGGCTGCAGAAATCCCCACCGACTGTTTCCCCTCTTCGAGCATGTGAGGCTGTCGGATCGCCTTGGTTTGGACTCCCCTGCATGGAGGCTCCGAGGGCTGCAGAGATCTGCGCTCTTTGGGGCTTTCTTGAATTCTTTCGTCTCCTTGTTGCCTTTCCAAGTTTTCATTGTTTCAGCCGTCAACGTGTGCACCAGCTCTTCTGCCCTGGGAGCCTCAAAATGGCTCGAGGCCAGAAAGCGTTGTGGCCTCTGAATTAGCAGTCGGCCACGTGAATTTTCCACATCTGCAGGAGAAAGCGCGGTGGAGAGATATTTGTTGGTGGGTTATTGGATCATTGATGACTGTTTGGGTTGTCGGGCCTCAGAGCTGTTCAGGTGCCGCTGCTTCAGTTCCTCACATTAATTTTACCTTCTTTCATTTCCTCCTTGTCGCTCCTCAAATAAGAACTGCTGCCGTCAGCTTTCTGCTGCATCTGTTTGCTTTACCTCTCTGGCCTCTTCGTCTGAATAAATCAGCCTTAAACTGATGTCCTTCCTATTTCACTGCTGCAGCCATCTTAACCCAGCAAAGGATTTTACCCTGTACTGTCCTTGTCGTACAGACTATAGAAAATGTCATTTGAACAGGTGTATGACTAAGTGGAATCTAGTGGAACAGACTTAAAATTGCATATCTACATCAAGATTAGTTGTTTTGTTGTTAAAGAAATCTAGGTCAGGTGCAGCATCTTGCTCTGTGGTGAAGTGCTTTTGTCCTCAGTAATAAGATAAAATAAAGGGGAAGAGAACCACATGGCTCAGTGGTCGACGCATCGGAGGTTGTTCCCAAAACAATTGTCAACAGTTTGATTCTCTCCTTCTCCCCCCACTCATTTCAATCTACTGTTGAATAAAAGCCGCTCAAGCCACAAAAACCTTTGGAAATAATCAAATGAAAGGGTAGCAAAGTGTTGTAAAATATCAGGTACAGTATTTATAGTCAAATTTTTATGCCACTTCAATTTTTTTTTCCAGTTTCACTAAATTACGTGGTAGCTTTTATGTGACACCAAGTTGCACAATTAGTAGGGAACGGATTTTTCTCTCTTTTATAATTTTTTTCTTCACAAATTAGGATCTGAAAAGTGTGGCTTGCATTCATCCTAGCTGGCTGATATGGTTAAAAATTGAAGTCTTTGATTGTTTTGTTTTTTTCTAAAATTCCAATCCAAATCAGTATTTTTCACCCTCACGTTTTTCCTTCAAAAGAAAAATACAAATGACAGAAAATAGCTGTAAAAACAATGACCTTTTTTTCATTCATACAAGCTGTAAAAAAAGAAAAAAAAAGATGGCAGGTCTTGGGAGAGATCTCTGGACCGAAGAAAGGTATTGGTGGGAGAAAAAAAAAATCCAGATTTTCTGCAAATTAAATCTTCAAAAACACAACATTGGATTAATCGATATAATTGATCAATCGATTAAACGACTGATGTTTCGGCTTGTGGCTCTGCCGAGGTGACTTTCTGCCCCGGTCTTTAGTCTTTTGCCACTGTAACAGGTTTTCTTCCAGCTCCATTAATCTTCCCACCAGCCTCTTCCTGACCTTTCCGCTGTGTTCATAATTAAGTCACACAACTCTCCCGACTAAACAGGGGACTTCTAAAGCTATTGCTCGCACTCCATTTTATTCGTAGACTTCACTCTTTTGATTTATCACTAAAAAATACCAAAAGCCTTCATTTTCATTGTCCTTACACTTCACCAAAATGTGCTTCGAGGCCAGAAAGCGTTGTGGCCTCTGAATTAGCAGTCGGCCACGTGAAACCGTTTTGCGAGGCCGCGTTTCCTTTAGACGTTTCTCTGCCCCCTCTGTGTTTGCTCAAAAATCTCACGTAGTGCCAGGATTGAAAAGCTTTCCTGCACGCGCACCGCGGCTGCTTCTTTAAATATTAATAGCACTCGCACAGTTAGGCTGTGTTTTCTGCTGCTGGGTGAGGTGGGAAGCGTGGGAGTTTTACATAAACCACAACTTAGTAAGAATATCCTTGGCTCTCCATAATTATCCCCCTGACAAATGAGTAATTAAATCTGAATGGCCTGATGTAGCATTTCAGAGCTCCAGATAGTTCCACCCCTCCTCATGTGGAGCTGCACTCGGCTTCATGTTGCACTTTTTAGGAACGCAGAAGAAGGACACAAATCGAAATGTAGCACTAGGTGAAATGAAATCTCAAAATCCCCAGTTCTGACCATTAGTGTCAGTTAAAACGAGCATGTTTTTGTCATTATTGTTATTATTATTATTATTATTATTATTATTATTTGCTCTTCCTTGTGCCTTGTGCCAAGCAGCCTCTTTAGACAACAGTGTTTACTCTCTTTCCAATTAAACTAAGAGCTTGAATGCCGGAGAGTCATGAGAGCAAGTTGCACCAGAATGTAGAGGATCAGCAGCACCAAGTGTGTGTGTGTGTGTGTGTGTGTGTGTGTGTGTGTGTGTGTGTGTGTGTGTGTGTGTGTGTGTGTGTGTGTGTGTGTGTGTGTGTGTGTGTGTGTGTGTGTGTGGGTGTGGGTGTGTGGGGGTGTGTGTGTGTGTGTGTGTGTGTGTGTGTGTGTGTGTGTGTGGGTGTGGGTGTGTGGGGGTGTGTGTGTGTGTGTGTGTGTGTGTGTGTGGGTGTGGGTGTGTGTGTGTGTGTGTGTGTGGGTGTGTGTGTGTGTGTGTGGGGGTGAATGGGTGTGTGTGTGTGTGTGTGTGTGTGTGTGTGTGTGTGTGGGTGTGTGTGTGTGTGTGTGCAGCTGGGTGGCAGGGCTGTTGGCAGAATCGATGTGAGAGATTTACAGCTAAAAGCAATCCTGCTTGGCTTTCTGTTTCCATGGTAACCATTTGCATGTCGGTAGCCGTGAGGTGAGCTTCCTGCTTCCTGCTTCCTGCTTCCTGCTTCCTGCTTCCTGCTTCCTGCTTCGTGGCTGTGGTCAAAGGGACTCGGTGGGATGGAAACGGGGAAACGGCTCGACGGGGAGAGCAAATATGATTCTTTAAATGCATTAAACCTTTATGTTGTTTAGCTCTGCATCTCACTTCGTATTTAACTTCTCTGTTTTCCTTCAGCGACACGTGCTGCCCAGAAGACTTACTGAATGCCACAGGCAGATTTTTTCACCTGTAATTTAAAATACAACATATTGGGTTACTATACATTGATCAGAGATTGTTTTTTAAAGTAAAAGCATAAAGATGCAAAAAGCCCCCCAAAACAAAAAACTTTTTTAGTGCATGTTTTGGTTCCATAAATCCTTAATCACATAATACTGGTCAAGCTGTGGCTAAATTACTATAGTCAACATTTACTCAGTTTTTGAAGATATAGCTAAAATCATATTTTTGTTCTCTCAATATTATGTCTCCTGATACCTTCAAGTATCTTGCATGCAGCCAGAAAATTAGCTAGCAATATTCTGTATATTTAATTTCACTTCAGTTTCTGTAACATCAGCACTTTTCTGTAACTTCTCTGCAAAAGCACAAAATTTTACCAAGTATTTTTGGTCTTGTTTCAGTACAAATATATTGGCATCCTTGAGACGATCCAGCGCTGTTCTGTCAGGTCTGTTGGATTCTTGTGGAGAAGCCTGGCAGATAATACTCTCAAAGTTTTAATTCAAGTAAAGGTCTGGGTGTTCTCAGGCCGACGTCTCACAGTGTAAGTGTGTTTCTGGGTCACTGCAGTGTCGCAGTCACACGAAAATATCCGTGAACTTTATTCACAACCTCATCAATTCCTAATGTATTCAGTCTTATTTGTGGGGGGAAACGGATGAAATTTCGAGAAATGTATTTATAAGTAAACCACTTCTGGGCCCACTAAATAAAACTTTAATGAAAAAGCGAGATGGAGCAGAAAATGTGCCCCCTGCGTTATGGGGCCGGGCTTTTATTCGACTTTATTGTTCTGTGAGGAAAATCTGCAGGACTGTGTTTCATTCCCAACACAAGCATGATTTTAGGTTTTAAATCAAACGTCTACAGCAGAACATTCGTCAAAAGGCAACAGAAAACCCTCAGCAGTTTTTATGCTTTGCTGCTTACATAAATTACAACATTCTCCAACACACACCTTGTACATTATCATTTAGCAGCTGACATTGTGCTTTGCTTTCTGTGTCCTGCAGATGGCGCTCCACTGAGCGAGCTCTCTTGGTCGTCCTCTCTGGCAGTGGTGGCCATCTCCTTCTCGGGTCTCTTCACCTTCGTCTTCCTCATGCTGGCCTGCCTCTGCTGCAAGAAGGGCAAGATGGGCTTCAAGGTGGGAGGAATGATGAGCTTTGAATGAAAACTGACACATAAAGACAGAAAAAAGACGAGCAAATCTACTTTCAGACGTGTTTGAATGAATTGGAACACAACACACATAATATTAAATGAAGGCTTGTGTTTAAAAAAACAACAACAAAACAACAATTTTAAAAGCACACAAATGGTGATGTAAAATGAAATTTAATGTGGAGACATTCGGAGTTGCTCACTGAGTGGACAGAGGCATTCGCTGCATCTCTTCATCCTCTGGATCAAAGCCATCCGGTGTTGTTTATGCAGATGGGAAGCAGGAAGAGCAGCAAACAAAGCGGGATGAGTTTGTGTTTGTGGAGCGGCTCGAGCCCCGCAGCGCTGCATGACCGCCTTGTGGACGCAACAGAGAAACGAACTGGGTCACAGCGCGAAGTGAAATAGGGCAGAAGAAGAAAAATGTTTTTTTGTTTTTTTTTTTAAATTAATTAATTTACTTTTTGCTTGCTGTGAAGTTCACCTACAAGTTTAAACTGATTTTTGATAAACATATTTTCTCAAATCCTAGACATAAACATTCATGCATGGTTTATGCCCACACACAGTGGGACCAGCTTCCAGAGGCTCGGTGCCATGTCTGCTTGTGTACCCTAAGGAACATCTGTTGCTTTTAGGCTCTTGTTGGGTCCAAACAGAACATCTGAAGATCTCAGCACGAGAACAAGAATGAAAATGTATTTTTGAGAAAACAATCTACAGAAGAACAAGTTTCCCTGCATGTTTATTGCAGCTCATTAGAACTTCTGAGAGTTCCTCCACAACAAGCCTCTCTGCTGAGATTTGCCACACTTTGTTTTACAAAATAATGCAAGAAATTAACATAATTATCGTCGGCTTAAACAGTGTTTATTTGGTTGAACTGTGTTGAACACAGCAGATAAAGATAAACAATTTTTGCTCAAATTCTTGGAGAGATGAGGGATTGGTTCAATACTCAGGAGCTTTAGCCTCTCTGTATATCTTCACATTTTCTGCTGTTTTCTTCTCTTTGTTTAATTTTTCATAGTATTTGTCTGACTGAATGTGAAGATTCTCTGTGCTGCTGCTTTGGTTTGGATCTAAATTAACACCAGATTATTTATTTTCAATAATCTGAAGACCTGAATAAAGTGGTGGAGGATCTACAACTCTCTGCTGGTTCAGAGTGATTTCAAAAGGGTCATCTTGTGAATCCTCTCCACTGTTTCCTTTTTATACTCTGTTACACAAAGTATGTTCAGGGTGTGTTCAAGGTGTGATCAGGGTGTGTTCAAGGTGTGATCAGGGTGTGTTCAAGGTGTGTTCAGGGTGTGTTCAGGGTGTGATCAGAGTGTGTTCAAGGTGTGTTCAGGGTGTGTTCAGGGTGTGTTCAGGGTGTGATCAAGGTGTGTTCAAGGTGTGTTCAGGGTGTGTTCAGGGTGTGTTCAAGGTGTGTTCAGGGTGTGTTCAAGGTGTGTTCAGAGTGTGTTCAAGGTGTGTTCAGGGTGTGTTCAAGGTGTGTTCAGGGTGTGTTCAGGGTGTGTTCAAGGTGTGTTCAGAGTGTGTTCAAGGTGTGTTCAGGGTGTGTTCAGGGTGTGTTCAAGGTGTGTTCAGGGTGTGTTCAAGGTGTGTTCAGGGTGTGTTCAAGGTGTGTTCAGGGTGTGTTCAGGGTGTGTTCAAGGTGGTTCAGGGTGTGTTCAAGGTGTGTTCAGGGTGTGTTCAGGGTGTGTTCAGGGTGTGTTCAGGTGTGTTCAGGGTGTTCAAGGTGTGTTCAGAGTGTGTTCAGGGTGTGTTCAGGGTGTGTTCAAGGTGTGTTCAGGGTGTGTTCAAGGTGTGTTCAGGGTGTGTTCAAGGTGTGTTCAGGGTGTGTTCAGGGTGTGTTCAAGGTGTGTTCAGGGTGTGTTCAAGGTGTGTTCAGGGTGTGTTCAGGGTGTGTTCAAGGTGTGTTCAGAGTGTGTTCAAGGTGTGTTCAGGGTGTGTTCAGGGTGTGTTCAAGGTGTGTTCAGAGTGTGTTCAAGGTGTGTTCAGGGTGTGTTCAAGGTGTGTTCAGAGTGTGTTCAAGGTGTGTTCAGGGTGTGTTCAGGGTGTGTTCAAGGTGTGTTCAGGGTGTGTTCAAGGTGTGTTCAGGGTGTGTTCAAGGTGTGTTCAGAGTGTGTTCAAGGTGTGTTCAGGGTGTGTTCAAGGTGTGTTCAGAGTGTGTTCAAGGTGTGATCATGGTGTGCACAGGGTGTGTTCAAGGTGTGTTCAGGGTGTGTTCAGGGTGTGATCAAGGTGTGTTCAGGTGTGTTCAGGGTGTGTTCAAGGTGTGTTCAGGGTGTGTTCAAGGTGTGTTCAGGGTGTGTTCAAGGTGTGTTCAGGGTGTGTTCAAGGTGTGTTCAGGGTGTGTTCAAGGTGTGTTCAGGTGTGTTCAGGGTGTGATCAAGGTGTGTTCAGGGTGTGTTCAGGGTGTGTTCAAGGTGTGTTCAGGGTGTGTTCAAGGTGTGTTCAGGGTGTGTTCAAGGTGTGTTCAGGGTGTGTTCAGGGTGTGTTCAAGGTGTGTTCAAGGTGTGTTCAGAGTGTGTTCAAGGTGTGATCATGGTGTGCACAGGGTGTGTTCAAGGTGTGTTCAGGGTGTGTTCAAGGTGTGATTATGGTGTGTTCAGGGTGTGTTCAGGGTGTGATCAAGGTGTGTTCAGGGTGTGTTCAGGGTGTGTTCAAGGTGTGTTCAGGGTGTGTTCAGGTGTGTTCAAGGTGTGTTCAGAGTGTGTTCAAGGTGTGTTCAGGGTGTGTTCAGGGTGTGTTCAAGGTGTGTTCAGGGTGTGTCAAGGTGTGTTCAGGGTGTGTTCAAGGTGTGTTCAGGGTGTGTTCAAGGTGTGTTCAGGTGTGTTCAGGGTGTGTTCAAGGTGTGTTCAGGGTGTGTTCAAGGTGTGTTCAGGGTGTGTTCAAGGTGTGTTCAGGGTGTGTTCAGGGTGTGTTCAAGGTGTGTTCAGGGTGTGTTCAGGGTGTGTTCAAGGTGTGTTTAGGGTGTGTTCAGGGTGTGTTCAAGGTGTGATCATAGTGTGTTCAGGGTGTGTTCAAGGTGTGTTCAGGGTGTGTTCAAGGTGTGATCATGGTGTGCACAGGGTGTGTTCAAGGTGTGTTCAGGGTGTATTCAAGGTGTGTTCAGGGTGTGTTCAAGGTGTGATTATGGTGTGTTCAGGGTGTGTTCAGGGTGTGTTCAAGGTGTGATTATGGTGTGTTCAGGGTGTGTTCAGGGTGTGATCAAGGTGTGTTCAGGGTGTGTTCATGGTGTGTTCAAGGTGTGATTATTGTGTGATAATGGTGTGTTCAGGGTGTGTGAGGGGATTGTGGGAACAGAGGAGGTCTGAGTGTGAGGAAGGGTTTTCTCATGAGCTCACAGTGCATCCGGCCTCAGGGCCCCAATTGCCTCTAACGGAGGAGAAAGAGAAAATTTCAAAGAGATGGGGGGAAAAAAAGACTTCAAGGGCGTTGATAGAAAAGGCTTTCTGTGTTGCTGAAAAACACCAGACGAGGACTCGCCCTGTGATGGAGCATCTGCCAATGGCTGTTGGAGTTCAGTGAGACAAAACAAAGCTCATCTGAAAAGTGAAAATCTCATGAGTTCCACAATATTTATTTTTATGTACATTTTTAATAATTACAATAATTTGTCTCATTGCGAAAGTTCAGCAAATGCTGACTTCATCTGATAAATGTCGGCCATTGGCGTAAAAATGAGAGGAACGTAACTGAGAAGTCATGGTCTATCCTTAAAACCCTTTACAGGGTGTTTTTTCTGTCTTAAATTTCATTCAGGGTGGCTCCAAAAAGATCTTGGAGTCTTAAATTTGACTTTCTGAAATCTGCTGGTACCAACCGATTTAAGTGAACTCCACCAACGCTGCCAGGAAAAGTAGTTTAATACTGAGCCAGAAAAATGTCCAAAGTTTGTTGACATTTTTTAAATTGACGTGTCGCTTTCTGAGGGGCATTAACCCAAATATTAGCGAGTGGACTATTTTTATTTTTCAAAATGTGTGTTTTAGAACATTAATGGATAAAACTCCTGTGTTTAAGAATCCCTGAAGTTGTTTAATTGCTCTCTCTTATTGAAGAATGATCTTGATGCGTAGTGAAACGCTTAACATTAGTGATATTTATATAACTGTAGATTCTGTTCTGACTCTTGAAACGGAAACTTGAATATCAAGTTTCCCAGTGAGATTTTACGATTGTAAGCAGCCCAAGTTTTTTTCGGTGACATTATGAGGTTTTAACACAAAACACTGTAAAAACGTCACAGTGAAACGCATGAAGCCGTGGAGATAAACAGGAAAAGCCACTCTGACTGTTTTTAATCACATCTTGGACTAAATGTTCAACACCAAAGTCAGACTTTGGCTGACAGCGCTCATGTTTTTCTTTGTACATATTGGGGTGACTGTCCTGCAGGAGTTTTCAGGACAGACACAAAGACATCCAGTGATGTCACATGTGCAGTATGTGAACCCCTCCTCCTCGTCCACTCTTTCCTCCTCCTCTTCTTCCCATTTGTATGTTTTCTCACATTTTTGGGAGGCCTCGGTGTCTCTCCTCTCCCTCTCCAGATGACCAGAGGTCCGCTCCAGGCTGTGCACTGGGAGCCTCTGCGCTCCTCCCTCTTCCTTTCTCCCTTCCTCTGTTAGCTTTTTCTCCTCTTCATCCCTCCATCCCGGCAGACTTGGGGACAGTCTGTGGTCAGCTGCAGAGCTTCTTCCTCCTCCTCTCTCAGCAGAATGATGAAACTTTTCTCTCCATCCTCCTGCTGCCCTCCACTCATCACCTCACCGTGTGTGTGTGCGTTGTTGTGCATGTGTGTGTGTGGTTGAGGCAAACCAAGAAGAAGGCTGAAATGATGAATTTGGGAGTATTTATCATTTTTGGTAGAAGGTAAGTTCTCACAGAACTGCACATTTTCAGCAGAATTCAATTAGAAGATTTATTGAAAACAAATGTATTCATTGCAAAGTTGAAAATGTTGCATCCAAGTTCAATGCATGTGTTGAAAGGTTGCAAATTTCTTTCTGTAATGGCATATTTCTTGATTTATTGTGACTGTTTGGAGAAGAGATTATTTGCAGTTCACAAAACTGAATCTTTTCAGAGAAGAAGGAAGCAAACCGAGCGCCGCGTCGAGTTTTTTTTTTGTTTTCTTTTTTTTTAAACGCAGTGTTGTGTATGTTTGTGACAGAGTGTCGCTGCAGAGACTGAAAACACATGTTGGATGTGAGAGATGGGGCGAGTGGGGCCGTGTGAAGGTTTGGAGCGGAGGCAGAAGGAGGGGTCTGCGGCCTGAGCCAGTGTGTGTGTGTGTGTGTGTGCTCGCATTCCTGGGGGACAGGAGGAAGCGGGAGACGGAGGTGTTTATGTGCGCATGTGTTTGTGTGGGTGTTGCAGAGGGCTGCAGCGGGTCACATTTTTCCAGTGATGGGACCCCACAGCCCTCCAGATCCCATCTGAGGGACTTTTATTCTGACATCCGGCCTGTGGATGCAGCCAACTCCCTCCCTTCTCCCCCCACCCTCCATCCTCAGCTGTGCTGCTGTTCACGACGGACAAAAGAAATCTTTCAGAAGTTGTTATCAACTCAGTGAAAGGTTTAGAGTGATATTTTACTTTTGGTTCTTGCAGAACAACTTGACTTCATTTCGGCAGATGTGAACAGTCCTGAAGACGGTTTGAAATTCTCACAGTTTTTTTAACTTGAAGGAAAAAGGTAGCGACTAGTCGAGCAGGTAGTCTGCAACATCCATCCATCCATCCATCCATCCATCCATCCATCCATCCATCCATCCATCCATCCATCCATCCATCCATCCATCCATCCATCCATCCATCCATCCATCCATCCATCCATCCATCCATCCATCCATCCATCCATCCATCCATCCATCCATCCATTTACTTAAATCCTAAGCCACTCTGTGTTCCAACAAACCTCTCATCAGTCTAACACCACGGCCTTTGCTTCCGTTTCGCATTAATAAAAAAAAAAAGAAAATAAAGTGTTAAAAGAAAAAAGAAAAGAAAGAAAACTGATATTCGTCTCTCCATCAGCACTTCTCTGCTCTGCAGTACTTTCCGAGGCCAGAATGAATCTCTTGCTCCTCATTCCTGCACCATCTTTAAGGTCTCCTCTCAGTCGTAGAGGCATCCAGAAGGCATTTCATCATATTGAACTGAAACAGCAGCTTTTCACATTTTATATGTCTTTGTTTTCGTAATTAAAATCATGTTTTTACCTTTCTTCCTTTGATTGCTGACTAAGAGTTTGCAGCAATATGTTGGGGAGGGGCAGCACTGTGCATCATGCTCCATGCAGCAAGAGAAAAAAAAACCTTCTTGTCACTCCAAAGGTTTCTCTGTGACATCTCATCATTGTTTTAATTAGATTACAAGCACAGATCTGTGAGGGGATGTGAGTTAAACAGACGGGTTCACACCGTCACATTCAGGGGAAAAAAATCAGATTTATTTCGCCACTGTTTGTTTTTTGTAAAACATAAAATGTTGTTTTTGAAGTAAAAGAGAAGCGTTTGTCTGCAGTCTGATTCCCAAACGGCTCCCGAGGATCAATATCTGCAGTCTGATCTGTGAAGTTCAGGACTCGGATAGATGTAGTCTTGGAGCTGATAATCCCTGGATTTGACGGACTGGTTCTGTTTACGCTCCGACTCTCCAACGGCCTCGCAGGAAAACAGAACCGGGCCAGCACAGCTTGCTGCAGTTTATCTCGGCTCTGCTTCGACTTTTGGGCCAGAAAAACCAGAAACTTTCCACATTTTATATCGGCAGAAAATCAAAGGTATCTGGTTGCTGCGTTGTCCGCAAGTCGTTCAAAAATAAATGAAACCAGAACATTTACTTTGTTTGACCAACAGAAGAAGAATTATTTACACATCACATTAGTACATTTATAAACTCCAGACTGGAGCTTACTTCAGCACACTATGAGAAAACAAACAGTTGGCCATGTAGACCCAAAACGTTAGATTCCACTTCGTCTCTTTTGAAGGAAGTATATTTTAACTTTTTTAGGTAAAAAATTAAAGATCTTTTATCCCTTGTAACTTAACCGCTTTCTGTTTTAGTGTGAAATTTAGGAAGAATTATGATTGTGTTGGATTTGCATCAACAGGCAATAGTGGTATACATACGACATGTTGGCTACATGGTAGCTAAAGGTCAGTTCACTCAAATATTCTGCCATTTATCTCGGGAAAATGAGAAGTGGGTAGCTCCCCCTGGTGGTGGCTACCAAATACGGCAGCGAATCAAACAGGCTTCAGACATAAAAATAAAAAGTATATTGCATTTTTTTTCCATTTCGTTGCTTCATTGCATTATTAGTGAAGAGTTCAACAAAACTTATTTTATCTGTAGCACTTTATGAAGGCAAATTGATGTAAAAATAAGCCTGGAAGTTGAAACCTGATCCGTTTAACAGAAATTTTTGAACTTTTACGTAAAACATCTAAATGAGGTTTTTGTTTAAATCAGCATTGAAATCAGTTCTGTTGCTCACTGCGGTTGTGGAGTAGTTCAGAGCCAAACATCTGAAACTACATCTTTTGTTTACAAGGAAGTAGCTTTAGCATTGTAGCACAGCTGGCTCTCATAGGAAGTTAGAAAATTGACATTTTAAAATTTATGTCATTGATTAGGTTGAAAACAGTAAAAATAATAAAAACATATTTTCTTTGTCTGACTCAGGTAGCAGGCTTGTCTGTACATCTTTTAAAGAGTTTGTGTATCTTCTTGTTTAAGGAATTTGAGAATGTGGACTGTGATGAGTACCATGGAGACATGTCCACCTTGGCGTCCACGGTCTCCCAGGGCACTCCGGACGTCTACGTCCTGCCGCTCACCGAGGTTTCCCTGCCGACCACCAAGCAGCCGGCCCGATCTGGTGAGTCAAAGTTCGGCTCGCTCTCCTAAACTCTTCCAACGCGCCTCCCTGTCCTGCAAGGTCAGAACTTCATGTGCCTGTGCAGCTTTAACTGTGATAGATATCGACGATGACTGAGAAGACGAATGCGTTGTTGAACAATACAACGCATCATCAATCATGATATCATTGATGATGCAATCCTTGCAGCAGCTCTGCAGAGGTGCCAGATTGTTTCACACACACACATTTGAAGGGTGTGAGAGCAAAAAGCAGCCCAAGAAGAGCCGTGTTTCCCCGGAGTGAGCACCGCCCCGATGCTGGTCAGTTGGGCCTCCACCTATCCCATAATTCATCGCTGCAGGGCAACTGCAGAATGAACTCTTTAACTTTCTCCCACAAACATCTGCAAGTTGCATAATAGGGTCCAGGCAGTCGGCCTACGCTGCAGTTGCTGGTATGTGAGGCATGTGAGAGCACAAACCCTCAGTGAGAGTATTCCTCTCTCAGTGCTTCTGCCTCTCAGGAACAATGTGAGTTGTTGTGCGTTATGGGAGCGATCCTGCCTGATAAACTCGTGACACGAGACTTAGCGGATCCAACTCACACAAGCACAAAGAATCCTGGGGGAAATTTATTCTCTTATTTATTTCCAAGGTAATTCAAACTGCTGTTACGTCCGCTGTGTCGCTATGAATCTATGAAATGAATTATTTTATTTATCCCACTGAATGTTTTTTTTAAGAAGTTTCGGAGGGGAAGTGAAAAGCAAATCTTTCTGCACATGTTCGCCTTTTGTCAAGCAAACCGACTGCTGAACACATGTTTTGTCCTCGGCGAAAGATAGAAACCATATGTTGAAGCAGCAGGCAGGGATTCATTACTGCGCCGTTGGGACAACCTCACCCTCTGACATCATTTTCAGATATTGATTTGAGTTTTTATGGAGTAACTGGATCAGATGCACGGTGCTGCTTTCAGTTTTAAGGGAACTTTCAGGAACTTTGTGTCATTCTGACATAATGCGGTGTGCGTTTTCTGCACCCACTTGCGGAGTTTAAACTATTTTCACAGCAATGACAGAACCTTGCCAAAGTGTTGAAACAGCCACAAACTTCAGTGTGTTCACTGGGGGCATTCTATGGAATAGAAATGCATTTTGTGTTAAAGAAATACAAGCTTGAGGTAATGTAGCAAAATGTGAAAAAGATTAATGAAGTCAAAAACTTTGGCACTCCAGGGGAGGAAAACGAATAAAATAAAAGAAATAAAGATGGAGGGCGACCGCGCCAAATCCGAGTCCGAACGAGATCGAGGAGATCCAACAGTTCAGGGAGTGTAGAACTTGGTCTGAGATTTCTCATAATCCATCAACATGGAAGTGTTTTGCTGCCCTCCATTAAGCGCCCGCTCTCAGCCAGTGTTCCTGAGTGGGTGGAGGTCTTAATAAGCCATCAGTGCTGCAGGAGCTTGGCTCAGACAGAGGCTCCGTTTAAAGGACCCGCCCTGATGCAGCTGTCGAGTGCTGCAGGCTGCTGTGTAAATCGAATGAAACTAACACCCATTCAGAGGAGACATGGGAGCAGGAATCCACACAAGCACAAAAACAAGTTCCCAAACAAGATCCCAATGCAGAGGGATCGACCAAGCACTGGTAATGGATCCGTTTGTAAGTCAGTTCTGCATTCAGAGGGTAAAACTTTACTTTTAAATGATCGTTTGAGGACAGGAGCCACTGGGATGAGTGGGGATGATGGGAACTCCTTTCGGCTCTGAGTGGTTTAAATGCATCTTGACAAAAACATCTCAGCTCCAGCAGCCATTATGTAACAGAGAGGCTCCTTGTTTTGGTTCTCAGCAACAATCAGCTTGGAGATGCAGCGATGCAAACGGAGCTCGAGTTACTTTATGCATCTATGAGAAGGTTTTTTTCTCTCCTTCGACTGTTGAACAGACTTGTGTTTTTACACGCCCTTTTTTCTGCATTTGCTGAGAAATTATTTAGTCACTCTTTTGCATTTAGGAATAAAAGGCGTGTGGAGACCGACTGGCCGTAAGAGGCAACAGGAAGTGGCAGAGTCTGCATGTCGACATGTTGAAGAGCACATCCCCCTCATAGAGTTATTTAAAGCTACACGGTTTACTTTCAATCTACATAATGGATAAACAAAGCCCCTGTAAATTTTACTGGGTTAAATATTTCATTAGGGACTAAAACATGTTGCAGTTTTTAGAACGCTGCATGCAGCAGACACTCCTCACTAAACAGCCTCCAGATATTTCTGCAATCACTATTTCTATAAATCCACTGTAGTTTTTGAACATGTGGACAGATGCCCTTTAATATTACAGCCTCATGATGAAAATTAGCTTAATCTTGAAGAAAATGAATTTTTTTCAAGATTAGATGCGAGTGCCTGACAGGATTGTGTTCGGACAGAAACCAGAAAACCGGCATTGATAACATGCAGGAAACGTTCATGATTTAATGACCTCACAATCCAAACTGAGGATATATTTTTAATCATGGATGCAGTTATTTTTCAGTGACATTTTCAGTCTTTTTTACATTCCAAGAACAAATCTGATGAGAACTGCTTTATTGCTAACGAGTGCTGGTCGTTTGGTACGTGTATAGTTTAGTTTTGTGCTATTTTAGGTAAAATGGAAAAAATTAAAGATGCTTTAATTTGTTTCCTCCAGAGGGATGTTTCATAACAGCTTTGAGAACAGTGGTGTTAAAGTAAATTTCTATGTTCTACTCAGTGTGTTTTTTTTAAAGATATATGGTTACTTGACTCCATTAAATCATCCATACCAGCAGTAGGTTTCTCATACTTATTGTGGTTTGATCAATGATCATAATCTGAAGAATTAACTGGCAAAAAAAGAATCAGAACAAAATAAATGGAAATGGGGCGCAATACAAAATCATCAGAAAATTATAAGCAGTTCAAAGATGAGATTTATGAATTTTTACTGTTATTTATCTCAAAGCAAGCTACACTGATCTGCAATAGTTTGAATGTGAAAGATATGCAAAGGCATAAGATACAAAACAGAAGGAGCCAAATGGAAATGTGTAGATATGAAAGGGGCAGTGCTAATTAGCAACATTGACGTGAAGAATTCAAAGACAGTACCGAGTTCCAACTACAAATATTGCACATCAACATGTCCTGAGGACAGGAAGGGAGCCCGTGGATCTGGGGGCTGCAAAATGTGAATGTGAGGTCATTTAAACCAGCACTGAACTCTCTGCCAGTTCCTGTGAAGAGTGACTCTGGAAACTGTGTAACTCTGCCTGTTAAAATGTTTATTATTGAAATAGCTTTTGATTTTACTAGGTGTGACCATTTAATGCTGCACATTCAAAGAATGACTGTTCGCAGTTCTTTACAATCCATAAAGTGTTTAGAAAATTTGCTGTGCATAAAAACATATGGAGCAGTGCATTTTGAGTTTTTTATTTTTGAAAAAAATACTGTTCTCATTGTGAGCTTTGTTCAATAAAACTAGATTTATACTGTAATAGTTCATGACTCGAAAACTACACTGACCATCATTTGCATTGACCATTTAGGAAAATCTGAGAAAATATCACTTGCATGATAACTTGGAACACGATGTATTTGAGGGAAACATGTCGCCGTAGGTGGAACCCTTCGCCTGGCGCCGTTTATTCCTTTGTCATGGAGCTGGGAGATAATAGTCCCAGTGTGTGCACCAAAGCTGGTCCTAACTGGTACTGTACTGTCCTACGCGGCCAGACAATGGCGACTATTCTGTTGTTAGGCCGGGGAGAAAGTGGGTGTAAAGACTGACCAATCTGGAGAAGGGAACGTAGGGGTCCAGTAAGGCCTCCACATAAGGACCGGACTGGACAAAGGTCTGCTTGTTGGTTGCTTTGCTACCAGAATCGAAAGTGTCATGGAGGGTGTTGCAGATGGAAACCAAAGGAAAGGGCAAGGAGGGGCGGGAGACGCAGCAATCGGTTGTTTTGGCTGAGTTGGAACAGCAGGACATCTTCTGTGACCAGGATGGGTGCAGGTCATCTGGGGGTGCTGACAGCGATAACCGGACCATCTAACAGCTTGATGCTACAGAAAGACCAGCTCAGATCAAACACAATGGAGAATGTTGCGTTTACTCTTCAACGACCGGCATGTTGGGATAATCCACTTCAGACACGGCTGAGAGGAACTGAGAGTGGATACCTAATAGCTCAGATGTGGTGCGTTATGTAGCAGCCTTGAGTTTCTTTAATTGGCTTCCTTTCAACACTTTTCTGTGCATCTTTTTAAGTAAAATTTCTCGATCTAACCGATGAGAACGTGTTGCAATTTGAAAAGTCAGACATTCTCAGAAATCATTTTGTTGTGCTGCAGTTTTAAATCCCTCAAATTACAAGGGTATAGATTGTTTTCAGCCATTCAGTCTCCAGCGCCTCCATCCATCAGCACTGACATTTATTTCAGCTTGTCTGTGCAACGAGATCCATCAGAGCGTTCAGCAGCCGTGCATTCGCATTACCCTGTGTTGTGTGATAACGCAGCATAAACGCCTAAACACTGTTTGGTATTTTAGCCCTATGATTATGATTTACAATGCATTTAAATGAATGCACTCCGTATTCAGCCAGATGGATTCTCATGAGCAATTTATATTTCAACTACACACCAGCTTGATCAGGAAATTTATCAGTTGTTCTCTGGCGTAATGTGGTTTGTCTGAAATGTGCTAAGGCATGCTGAATGGCTCAATCAAGTCTTTTTTCCCTCTTCTTTTTCTTCTCCTCCTCCTCCAGCCCAGCTGCTGAAGTCCTCTGAACTGACTCGCCACAGTCTGCTCTACCTGAAGGAGATCGGACATGGGTGGTTCGGGAAGGTAAGACCACCTGTAGTTCTTTAGAATGCATTCACACCAATCCTGTTGAGTCAGCTTTAATTGACTTCAGTTCGTTTGCCAAGAAAGTTGGGCTTATTTTGGTTGGTGTGAACATGCAATAGTCCTCTGATGCAGTTGGGAAGCTAAGCATATCAAAGGCTGCCCCAAAAGCAGGAAGTGGACTATAGCACAGGGTGTTCTGGGTACACAAAACCCAAACAAATGCACAAGCGGGAGAAATTGCCCATGGTCTTTTACCAAAGACAGAAGAGAAATCCTACAACTGCTAAAATCTTCCTCTACTCCATTTTTGTTTTAATTTTGTGAAAAAGAAAGTTGCTCTCATGTCTTCTTCTGAGGATTTCCTGTAGGTTTAATTTTGACACAGTGCTGTGCAAAATTAAACCTACAGGAAAGCGTAGGAAAGCTGAAAACGTAACAAATGTTCCAATTTTGTTCCCCAATCGAACCGAGTCTGCCAGACTACAAGGTGTGAAAACACCCTTGGTTGCATCAAGGACCCTCCTGTAATTCAATGTGTTGCTTGTGGTGCGATAGCAGCTGCTTTGTTCCAGATGCTCGCAGCTCTGAGTACGAATATTGCGCTGCTACAGTGTTTAGAAGCCGTCACTGCCAGTAGGAAAGCCTCGTGTTTCTGCAACCAGTTAACATTTTTCTCCCTTTCACCCTACCCTCTGTCTTTTGTCTGTTTCTGACTCACCTCACACAAACACACCTGCCCTTTCCATCCCTGTGTACCTTTACTGGGTATGTCCATATATGTACGTCTGCTTCACGTCTTTGTGTGAATGGGTTTACCGGTGTCTCTGTGTGTATGCTTGTTTCCTCCTTGTATGCATTTGTCTGGGCCTACGTCGTTCCAGGTTCTGCTCGGGGAGGTGAACACGGGCCTGAACACCACCCAGGTGGTGGTGAAGGAGCTCAAAGTCAGCGCCAGTGTGCAGGACCAGATGCATTTCCTGGAGGAAGCTCAACCTTACCGGTAACACTTTACACAAAAACCACATCTGGTCTCTTTGTCAATTGAACTGACCCCATGGAGGAAAATGTCTTCCCTCTTAACATGCTAGAGTAACTCTGACATAGGAATGACAAAAGAATATCAACGTATGAGTAGAAAATTAAAGCACTCCTGAAACTGGAAATAAATCTTTCAGAGGATGAAAAATTTCAAGATCCAATGATTTCATAAATGGAAATGTTGAGCCTCATAAAAATGTCCATTTTTAAGAGTTTTCACATGATCACTGAAGCAAATCTATTCCAGACACTGTTCTCCCAGTTTCATAAAATCCAGGCTGGATTTCATCATTGGAGCAAATATAGAGGCTTCGATGTATTCAGAACCTCGATGCAATAAACAAACACATGCATGTGTCCACAGTAATGTTCAGACGGTTGTTCTTTCTCTGTCACTTGAAAGAGAAATGCCTTTAAGCGTTTTTCCTCTTCCTGCGTTCTGCTCTCCAGCACACTCCAGCACCCGGCTCTGCTGCAGTGCCTGGCCCAGTGCACTGAAGTCACTCCCTACCTGCTGGTCATGGAGTTCTGTCCACTGGTGAGTCTCCATAGAAATACAGCAGATTGATCCAAACACACAACACCAATCGGTACACACTTAACTCCTAAAACCACTTGTAAACTCTTAATATCTTTCCATTAGTGGTGACACCATGCAAACGTTTGACCATCAGTCCTTTCCTTTTATTTGAAGCCTGAAACATTTAGATAAGTTGAAGATTAATTCTCTAATGATCTTGTCCCACTGAGGCTGGCAACTTCTGGATACTAGAAATTATAAAATTCAACCATCTTCATCTGTATCGGATAGATTATTTATATATTTATTTCACTTTAAAAAAAAAAAAAAAGGATACAATTGGACAATGTCTTCAAATCTCATTCATTTTAGCTGGGGTTTTTCCATTTAGTGGGACTTCAAGGCTTCCAGGGGCAAAATGCAGTATGTTCTCTTTTGTTCTGAAACAATAAATGCAATTGATTTTTCAGGCAAATCATCCTCTGCATTTCCAGCAGCACTGAACAATTTTACCGCCTTAGAAAACTGATGGAATATTTTGTGAACTTGATCAGGTTAAATGTAATTTCGGACGGCTTTTTGACCTCTTGGCATCGGCTGGAGACTAAATGGTTGTTTTTGTAGGTCCTTTTTCCCAGCAGCTGTTAGACTTTATAACCATCTCCACTGGTTATAAAGTCAGTAAGTGTTATATGTGTTATTGTGGACATGCACATTTTGTTCACTTTTCTTAAGCTTGTCCTACTCAGCAGAATCTAAGGATGCTATTTTTAATAACTACAGTAATATTTTCACCCCACTATGAGACAATGATCTGAACAGAAGTAAAAGAAAATTCTTAAAGGTGGACAAAACTGCTGTTTTGTGTACTTGGCATCCTGGAGAAAGTTAGATTTATGGGGTGCTTTGGTGACGCACCACATAAATCTGAGGATCTATTTCTGCTCCATGCAAACCTCGTCAGCTGAATAGGAAATGGAGGCCAAAGAGCAGTTGACTGCCAAACACTGCCCTCCAGTGGTCAAACCTTGTAATATGCAGGTGTCTTATTTTCCTTTGCTGTGTCCAGGGGGATGTGAAGGGTTACCTCCGAAGCTGCGGGTCGAACGAGGCGATCGCCCCTGAGCCCCTGATTCTGCAAAGGATGGCCTGTGACATCGCGTCAGGACTGCTGCACCTGCACAAACACAACTTCACTCACAGGTACTCCCAAACTGCTGCTGATTGGTCAGCCTTTGGATGACTTACAACAACAAAAAATCCAGCTGCTGCGCCAACTTTGCTTCCAGTTGCTTCCTGAAACAACATCCTGGTGCTGCCTGAGTGCTGCTTATTGACTCCAGCATCAGTGATTTTGTTGCAGGCGGTGGCCGCTCCTCCCCAGATCAGCTTTATTAAAGGTATAACATGTTGCAGATGAAAAGGTGCAATGTTCCATCAGCAGTGACAGCTGAAGCATCTTAAACAAAAGCATCCACGATGTAATATTTCATTAAATGGTGCAGATGTGTAAGAGGTGTTTTTCTGCGTCTGTCATCAGCGACTTGGCTCTGAGGAACTGCCTGCTGACTGCTGACATCTCAGTGAAGATCGGAGATTACGGTCTGACGCACACAAAGTATAAGGTAGATAGATCCACACGAAGTTCCCAAATAGAAGCTGTACAATTTCTGAGTGAATGTTAATATTTGATTTTGCTTAAAAAACTGCATTTGCTTGTCTGACGAGGGCAGGAAAATAACTTGAATTTATCCCTGCTAACATTTGTAACGCACAACTCAGGCGTTTCAGAATCAAATCATGAAATGTGTTGATATTTCTACTCTACCAGGATGATTTCTATGTGACCTCGGATCAGACGTATGTGCCACTGCGCTGGATCGCTCCGGAGCTGGTGGATGAGGTTCATGGAAACCTGCTGATAGCTGATCAGACCCAACAGAGCAACATCTGGTAGAACCAATAACTCCCTCACACGTTTAGACATTTAATGCCCCTTTTATGCATTAGACTCCATTTAGACTTTTAGTGGTTGTTGGTGCACAGTTTTAATGTGCGTTCTGCGGCATGATCACTGCTATTAGAGAAAATAAATATCTGCACAAAGACACAAATTAAAATGCCGTAAGCCGTTTATTATAACCCAATCTAATAACTTAATCAAAAAAGTAGATTCAAGTCTTTAACAGATGACCTTCAATCTTGCAACGATCAATTTGATGTGCTAATTATTTTCTCCTCTCTGATTCTGGTCAGGGGTTCTTGTCGTCTGGCCAGTTTAATCGTTCACTATTTTTACGGTTGGTTTATTTTAAAGACAGGGCATGATGGTGCATTCAAGTACCCCTAAACTTGTTTTGTAATTCCCACTAAACTGTCCAAGTGTGATTCATTTATGATTATTAGCAGAAAACTTTACACCAATTAACAGTTGTGACTATTTGCATGTTAAATCCTAAACATGCTCACTTTGGTAAAATCTCATATTTGAGGTCTTCTAATAACACAACACAGCAATTTCTGCACATAATTGCAGCTAATTCCATATTTTTGCAAAAAAAAAAAAAAATAATTAATCCACCTGTTAACAAAAATCTTAAATATTTTACCCTGTTCTGTGTAAACAACCTGTGCAAACTCTATGTTCAGCTTTTAAAAGGCTCAATTATTTCAAGAACATGTGGGAAAATCTTTCATCATAAGTTTTTTTTAGCTACAAGGCAAAGAAGCTCAGATGCATTTATGCATTTAAACGGTTACCAGCAGCACAGTATCGGAGCTTATGGTGCAGAATATGCATATTTCCACAATAGACAAACTGCTTGTAAATTATTAATCATGGCAGAGAATTTATTGGTTTAACGGTGTGCAGATCAGAATTCCTTTAGCTGCATCTACAGCCTGCAGCCTATCTATACACAGAGAAATATTTGATGAAGAGCTTGCCTGAGAATTGCAGAAACTCTACATTTTCTGGCCAAAAGATGCACCATCAGTGCATTGGAGCTATTACTAACATAAGTAGCAGTTTTATGATCTAACTATACTTTGGGACGTATTTGCAGCTGCATAGGAACAATGTTAGTTTTCTCACCAGACAAAGAGAAAATGTAAGGGAAAAAAAATACGACAAAAAAATTCTGTGACTGGAGAAGGCATTTGATCCAATCAGCTGAGCAAAAAATATTATATCATAAAATGAAAGCATGAATAATATGATTGTGAGGATCTAAAGGTGGATGTCCACGCTGTCTCGTCTTCCCAGGTCTCTTGGTGTGACCATCTGGGAGCTGTTTGAGCTGGGAAACCAGCCTTACAGACACTACTCTGACAGACAAGTCCTGACGTATGCTGTAAGAGAGCAGCAACTGCGACTTCCCAAGCCGCTGCTCAAAGTTCCCCTTGCTGAGCGCTGGTGAGTCACATACAGATACAGGCATGCCCATTGGGGAGGAAGACAAATGCAACAAAACACAGAGCCAAGAACAACTCAGTGAAATCACTTCCAGCATTAGCAGATTCAAGTTCCCTGCTCAGATTATCACATTTGTTTTTAGTCATTTTTACCGGTTAACTTTGAACACTTACCCTTCTCATATTTGGGCTCCTCAGGTATGAAGTGATGCAGTTCTGCTGGCTCCAACCTGACCAGAGACCCAATGCAGAGGAAGTCCACCTGTTGCTCAGCTATCTGTGTGCAAAAGGGGCCAGTGAAGCCGAAGAGGACTTTGAGAGGCGCTGGAACTCGCTGCGTCCCAACGCTGGATTCAACGGTCATCACAACGCGTCAACGATATCTGGAGACCAACCCTCCTTAACCTCCTCTTCCTTCCCTTTACTGGAGCAGTTTTCATCTGGTGATGGCTACCATTCAGAGTCTGGAGATGACATACTGACAGTGACAGAGACCAGCCACGGCCTGAACTTTGAGTACAAGTGGGAGCAAGCCAGAGCAGATCCATCCTACATATCCCAAGAGTCCTCAAGTACTTGTGCTCAGGCCAACCATCATTGTCCAGAAGTGTTTTATCCACCAGGTGGCATTGTTGGAGGATGTCCCATGGAGGGCCTAAGCCACGGAGTTTCTCCTACTTACTATCAACCAAAACACTTGCATCCTCCCAGTGTGCTCCCTGTCCTCAGTGCCCATAGTCCCTCAGTAAGCAGTGAATATTACATCCGCATTGAGGAGCCTGTGAACTGTAACATGGATCCAGATTACAACATGTGCTCCTACAGCCCAGACTACCAGGGCAGCAGCGGGAGCTTCCTGACTGGCAGTGCAGACTCTGGTGAATGCATGGCCTGCCCATCACAGACCAAAACAATGGGTCCTTACTGGTCTGCTGACATCCATAAATCTGATCTGTATGACTCCAATGATTCAAGTCCAGCCATCTCTTTGACAATGGAGCCTCTTTTAGGTCAGGTTTCAAACAGCAGCCCCCTTCGACCATGGGAGTCAAGTCACTATGTGTCCTATAAAGACAGAGATGGGGGCTACTACTATGAGCACTCCCCTCCTTTAGAAATGGATCCCTATCTGATTGGAAGTGAGCATTCCAGTGAGCATCTCCAAGAAAGCTGGGGGTCAAGAAGCCTTCGTCAGGCTTTAGGAGAACTGGAGAACCCTTTAGGTATATCCCCATCTGTGACCAGTCCACCTGAACAGGCCTATAGAGAGACATACCTGGACACCAGCCAGACCTCTCTCTTAGGGAAGAACATGACAGGGGGCTACTATGACATGATGGGCTCTTTAAGGAAGACCATGCCTAGCCACACAAGACACAATAGCCACTCAGTCAGTATCAACATGAAGACCGGAGGCGCGCTCTTCATTGGACACAGAGACAGCGACACAGAAGAAGAAGAGGAGGACATATTTCTCGAGAGACACACCTGCAATACGTGGCCTTCGAAACACAGGCACAGCAGCGGAGGACACCACAGGCGGGCGAGCCACAGCTGCAGACAGGACTCTTACACCGACTTCAACTACACCATGCCAAGCACAGACATTGAAGACACCTGGCCGGACCAGCACAGCCTGGCTTTTCACTCGCTGCCCAAACCCATTAACTACTTAGAGCCACACCAGGCCAAAGATAACAGTGCCTGCCTCAGCCTGAGTAAACATCACACTATGGTGCCCCCAGACAACTGCAATCCCTACATCTACCTGTGCCATGAAGGGGACACTCAGGTGCCACCATCTGGAGAGTGCTGCCACACCCATTTTGTTGATCCACTCACTGGTTTGTTAGTGAGAAACAACGACTACTGTCATAGCTACAGCAACTACATCACAGACAAGACTACTGATATTCTCAGCAGTGAGGAGATGATCAATCTATCACCGGCTCCAGGGGGTCCAATTGTTTCCAAACACACTTTAATGAAGGCTGATGACTGTGAAGAGCACTATATTAATCCTTCATCTGAAGAAACGCCACTTACAGAGAAGCGAGAGGAAGTAATCAAAGAAAATCAGACCATGCAAAAACCACCAGAACCTAGAAAAGAAGAGGTAACTCTGACGATGACTAAAAACACTCCACCTCCTCCTGATAACAGGCATGTGATGGTTTCCAACACAGATCCCCAGTCGGAGCTGAGCCACACAGCCGACAGCGGCGTGGACCAGGCCGGCTCCACCGTAAGTCTCATTGACATCCTCGACTGCAGCGACGAAGAAGACATAACAGACGACATCACTGATGTGACTTCAGGCATCTTTGCCGACGAGGGCAATGAGCTGAATGTATCTCCTGCTTTCAAATCTTTGCAGAAGCAGGTAGGAACTCCTGATTCCATGGACTCAATGGATCTGCCATCTGCTGCTGGATCTTGTGAAGGTCTCAGTCCTGCTTCTTCCCACCCTTCTAGCTCACCTAAAGCCATGGACAGCGGATATGATACAGAGAATAATGAGAGTCCAGAGTTTGTCCTGAAAGAGTCCCACGACACCCGATCACAACCTCAGGGAAAGCCTACCCTGGATACCAGTATAGAGGAAGTTGAGGAGAACCATGAAGAAGAGGACACAGCAGAGGTTCAACCATCATTGGGTCAAGGTTCAATTTTGGAAAGCTCACAGACAGAAGACCACATTCTCTTACCACTGAGTGATAAGACTCCGTACAGAGACTCTGCCTACTTTTCAGATTATGAGAATGAAAAGCAAAGTCGAGATGAGGAGAGGGAAGTCCACCAGAAAGAAATGGATCATCGCAGTGATGGAGAGCAACAGCATGTCGGAGGAAAAAAGGCAGAGAAAAGAAAAAGTGGAGAGGAGGAAGAACTAAAAGATGGCGTCGTGAACAAAGATTTAAAACTCGAAGTGGACCACGATCCAAAAGACAGAACAGAATCTCTTCCTCCAGGGACAAGCCTGACAGAGAATGAGGAACCTTCGGATTCTGCATTCAAAGCAGAGGTGATAATGGAAGAATGGCTTTCCCATGAAGAGAGTTCAGGCTTGGGGGACTGGGCAGCTGAGGTGGTGGGGGCCATGGAGGAAGCGCTTGGTGCCCTCAATGGAGACTCTGCTTCCGGCTTTAAGGAAGAAAAGGACATGGAGGACAAAACAGACTCTGTCGAGGCTGGCAAAGTCGAGGAAATGCCAATGAAATCAAATCACAAAAGGCCATCAGGAGAAATCCTGCACGTCTTACCCAAAGACGAGGTAGCGCTGCAGCACACGGCGAACAGCAGGAGGTTCTCTTCTTCCTCACCGGTCTCTCCATCCAGTCCACAACCTCCACTTCCTGCGACGGAGGGCCGATCGCCTCCCGTTGACGGCGAGGAGGCCGACGAGCAGGACGCCGACACTGATGACAGCGACGAGTCGGATGAGGAGCTGCAAAGTTACAGCGTGCAGGAGGAGGAGGAGAGTGAGGAAGAGTGCCACCCCGTGCCCATAGTGGTGAGCGACAACAGCGAGGCTCACAAGCTGCGGAGCCTCCTCAAGGTGCCGAGCCTGGCTGCAGAGAATCTGGAGGAGGACCAGAAGAAGAAGAAGACGGTTTCTTTCTTTGATGACGTCACCGTCTATCTGTTCGATCAGGTGAGAAGTGGAAATGGGATATTCAACTTCCCGAGGGTTTTTGTGGTTGATTTCCAATTCCCTGTTTTTATAAAGTTTTGACCAAAATGTATTTGAGCACCGAAGCTAATGCTAAAACCCTGGTAGTGCATGGCAGACAATTTTTGGATAATTTTTGGTGTCAATTGGGTCAAATCTAGCTGAAACGTCATCCGATTCCCTCCGATTTCTCAGTGCATGTAAAGCTAAAATGTAGGACATTTACTCAAGGTTGCTTCTTTGTGGGGACTAAGCTTTTTCACAGCATGGTTGGTTTTCTGTATTCAGCCTGCTTCCTTTAAGTAATCATTTCCAAATATTACCTCACCAGGAGAGTCCAACTAAGGAGCTGGTTGAGCACGGCTTCCCATTAGCATCCGAGGGTTCGAGCTCTGGCAGAAAATCCCAGGAAAGACCTAATATCTCAGATGATTCCTTAGATGGGAACATCTTGGAGGAGAGTGAGTGTGTTTATTGTTTTTGTGTTTATTTGTCCTTAGAAATAAAGTTTTTATTAGATAAAAGCAAAGCTCTCCTCACCGTTTTCTCTCAGGCGCAGGGTTTGAGTGGGAGGACGATTTTCCCCTCCTGCCTCTGCCTACATCCTCGACAGCAGCCGACTCTCCTCCACCTGTCGCCAAGGCGCCGGAGCCCAAACCGGCCGTCCAGTTGTCCCGGTTCACCGTCTCCCCATCGGTGTCTCGGTTCTCCATCACTCACATCTCTGACTCCGATATGGACTCGGCAGGAGGTTGGTCGCTTCACCACCTGCATGCAACTCCACTCTCTTTATGGCAGAATCATGACTGAATGCTGAAGGTCACGGAAGCAGAAACGAAGCTAAGTTTTGTTTCGGACAATTGCACAAAATTTGAAAAAAGGAAAAAAAAGCAGTGACAGTCATGGATTGTGCTGTAAGACTGAAATATGAAGTTGAAGACAGAGGTGAGAATAGTCTGGATTTCTTTAATTTACAATTATATAATCTTATTTCTTTGTACACTAGTTACAGATAATCTTATGAGGTATAATAACACTAACTTTGAAAAATTTCTCACCAGGGAGTCCCTATTTTCCACAAAGAAGGACAGTCAACTTCAGCTTTATCTGACTCTACATCACCAAGAACAGATCCTTTTAACCTTCTGTGAAACTCAAAGCAAACATAAAATGTTTAAATGTAAAATTCAGTTTCTGTTTCTGTCTTTCTTTGTAGGAAGCGGTGAAGATGCAGATAAGGAATGAAAAGCGGTGGATCTTTACTGCCTCTGTGACGACAGCTGGACCTATTTTAGCATGACTTCAGATTTTTTTTAATTATTATCATCATTATTATTATTATTATTGTAATGCCAGGTTTTCCAAACACAAGACAGTGCCTCTTACCGCCTGCAGACACTTCAGATATAAAGCCCTCTTACCAACATGTGACACCGTCCTGAGTGTTGTTTAGAATACTGAAAAGACAACAAATGTTACATTTTGTGAAGGACATATGAACGATGAACTTATTAAGGAGCCCTGTATATTTTTGGATCAAAGGCATCTTGGACGACAAAAGGACACATTTGCCACCTTTTAAATTTTTTTTCATTCATAACAATGTGGAGCCGATATTCACAGAAACAGAACGAAAACGAAACTGCTGCCTGATTGTTGCCGAGTAAAATCACATCCACTTTGTGGCTTTTCAACAACGGACGAGCACCTCGAACAAGACTGAGCAGCTTAAGACTTTCTACTTTTTGGCAAATGTTTTACTTGTACTAATAAACATCACGAATGCCTGAGGCATCACCTGTAATATAATGTCAATATTTGGTTTCATTCAGAGAGAACTGACGCTGTTGTGTGAAAGGAAACGACGCTGTCTGGTTTTAGACTACTATGAACTAGTGTATGAGACTTTTCTGTTTTACAAATAGAACATCCTCGCCACCAAACCGACTCCAGGACGCCCAAAAGCTGGAAGTGAGAAATAACTGAATTACTTTTCTTTAGCAGTTCACAGTTTAAAAAGAATAAAAGCCACTAAGAATGATTCAGGACAAAGAGAAACAGACACTAGTTATATGTAACAGCTGAACACTTGAAGGTTCTTCATCACATTGATGCAAAGATCTTGTAATTCCAGAAGCTCTAATGTTCACTGGTCCACAGTCCAGGTTGGTGCAGCAGCACCAAGCAGCTCTGTGGCGATGCGTTTCTGGAACGTTACGATTCACTACGTCAGGAACGAAACCTTCAGCTTTACGGCTGTGAAAGCAAAGGCAGCGCCAGAGTTACAACTATTTCACTGGGATCAACTTTAAAAAGATCGTTTTGATTTCCCTAGATCACATCTCTCATCTTAAAACGTCAAATCACCTCAGAATTTGACGTTTTAATAAGCCATCCATCCATCTTTAATCACTCGATCATTGACCTCCACAGCTTTTTCTTTTTGCTCATCTACATGAACTTTAAGACGTTTCCTAACGAAGCTGAGAGTTTTGACGTCCAGACAGTCTTTGATTTGCACTAGTGGGACAAATCCCGAATGATCCCAGAAAGCTTTCTTCCTTCTACCTGGATGAGGTAGAAGGAGGGCCCACAAAACTTGACATCACCTGGACCCTCCAGAGCCCAAAGAGACCATCTGATGTATCCAACAAATGGGCATTGTTATTAACATGTAACTTTGGGTAAACGTGATAAAGCCCCATGAGTTACACTTTACTCAAAGGGCTGTGCATAAGACCAATATGACACTGTCATGAACATGAAGGAGTCTTCATGAATGTTTAGAACTGAAGTGTCATTTGGTAAATGACACTTTTAATGAAAAGGTGCACTAAAAGTTGCATTTAAAGTTAATCAAAAGTGTCAACTTTGCATCATCCAGTAAGTAATGAAACTTTTAATGCAAAATTCCATTAAAACTTGCATGAAAACTCAATTAAAAATGTCAACTTTGCATCATCCAGTAAGTAATGAAACTTTTAATGCAAAATTCCATTAAAACTTGCATGAAAACTCAATTAAAAATGTCAACTTTGCATTTAAAGTGCCATTATCTATTGAACAACACTTTATGACAACAGTCATAGGCATTTATGAAGACGCCTCATGACAGATGTTGTCATGTTTATGACAGTGTCATGTCAGTCTAATGCAAACCCCTTCAAATAAAGGGTTTCCGAACCGACTAATGCAGATACAACACATGCAGTCTTTTTTTTTGTTTTCTCAAATGATTGCATTTCAAAAACATAGTGACACTAAAAAAAAGCTTCTGTAATATTTTCTCTTGTCAGCAGATTGGCGACTATGTTCACAAAACTTGACATCACCAAGAAGAAAATGCATCCATTGATGTTTTTGCAAAGGTCTTAAGTATTTTTTCTGTATTTTAAAATCTAGTAAAAATAAAATAATGGTTTAAATGACGTATTATTTTCTATAGCAGACAGTGCTGGTCCATTGACTGAATAATCACAGAGCCTAACTGGGTTGGACTTCTGCAATAAAGGCTGAAACACAGAGGAGAGAGAGATTGATGTTCCTGCAGTTAATTGAATATCCACAGTTGACGCGCTCTGTTTTAAACATCCAGTGTTTGCTCTAAGTCACTGGTTTGTAGGAGTGATAAAGTAATTTATTATTACTGTAACCTGCTGATCTTAGGCTACAGTTTTGTTTTCTGACTCTGGGCTTAGCAGAACTGTGGAAACGCTCTATATTTAAAACCCAAGCCATACTGTTTTTGGGTTGGACTCATGGATTATAGCGGTTTAGTCTGATTTATTGTCTCAGCTGATCATGAACTGCGACAATGCTGTGATTTTTGTGTTGAATATACAAAAAAAAAAACACACAAATGAGAAGAGACCCCGGTGCGTTCTCAGAGCCATTACAATACAGGTTTCTGCTTTTAAACCAACATGTAGTGTCTTCTATGTGTTTGCCTTGCAGGGCTTTGATATTCTCTAACACTTTAGCATAGAAACATCTTGATGGCTGTCTATAATATTTTTGTATTGAGAGAAAAATACTTTTGAGTATCGATGAGCTAGTGAAGCAGGGGAACGGACGAAATAAAGGAATATCTTTATGTTTAATGTTGCCAAAGACATGTGTTGTGTTTCAGGGTCAAGTACAACTTGGTGTTGTTTTTACCCCAAAGCAAAGACCGAGGTAAGGAACAAGATGGCAGCTTTGGTCTGAACCGATTGTAGAAATGTGCAGAAGGACTGGGATGCAGTCTGTAATATGTGACCCCCCCCCCTCCACTCTGACCTGTTCAAACCATTACTTTCTGTACTTTCTATTAGATATAAATAAACTCTGGTTTACACAGCTTAAGGCTTCTGTTGACTTTTTCACAAGTGTTATTTGAGTAAAGACTAATCTGTGATTCCAGGGAGTTTTAAAGCGCGTTTAGAAAGACCAAAGCGCAAATGATACAATGTTCAAACACAAAATACATACAAAATGCACTCAATCTCAGCCTACGTCTTGGTATTTACAGTATTAAGTTCACTGCAAGACAAAAAGAAAGAGACCAATCAAATTTGGCTAGTTTGAAAGGCGTTTTCTGTAAAAAGATTACGGCCACATGGTTTAGGTTTGTTTCATTTGAACAAGAAGCCTCAAGGAACAAAGTCATCTGAATAGAGAAGAGAAAACTAGAGTCTGGAGAAAATCACACACACCAAACCAGCACAAATATTTTATAATAACCGTCGAGCACAGAGGTGAAAGGCAGATCATTTGGGCTTGTTTTTAAAGCCAGATGAGCTTTCCACCATTAAAGCCTCTTTATGTCAGAATTCTTGAGTCAGATGTGAGAAACTGTGGGAATAGTCAAAGCCCAGAAATCCACCTGAATAAAATGCCAGGGCACTGAGCAGATGGAGATCTGTATACTTTAATGAGCAGAAGCAGCGTGGCAAAGAATGAGCAAATCAAAGTTCCTGCACAGTAATGAGATGGACCACCGAGTTTTCGCTGCTTCTGCATTTTAGCTTAGATTTTGTAAGACAAATAACAGTAATCTATGCAAATAAAGTCTAAGGTACATTTTCCCCCCTTTGAACCCTCAAACTTAAACCCACTAAAATTTGAACAAGATGTTCTGTTTATGGCAGCAGTAGAAAGATAAAGGCGTATAAAATTTCTTACTTTTGGTGTCATTATTCCGAAAAGAAAAACAAACAACAAACTGCGAAGATTTGATTTATTCTTGTGCATTAAATTGGAAAACAGACATTGCGTTTACAATTAATTCACAAATATTTGCAAAAATAAAATTTACTCTGAAGTAGCCATCATTTACACCGAGGCTTTAACAATGAGCAATTGATAAATACAGAAGTATTTATCGGTGTGATTAATTTAAAAACAAAAACAGGTAAACAAACTGGCAGCGTCTGCATTTCCTAAAAAAATAATCTAAACATCGAGCATCGTTCACATTTTATTAAGTTTTATAGATGAAGCTGAAATTTAAGTATGATGTGGAGTCAAATACATTTTATTTTAATAATCATCTGAAAGTCCACTTATCTATATGTATATATTAATGTGCATTTAGTAATATTTGTGTTATATTAGTAATACAATTCATATACACAAGTCACATATTTAGTACGACTTAAAGGTTTTTCATCTTTTGCTACACTAAAGTAATACTTTCAGTGGCTGATTTATTTAAAATCTCTTATTTTTACTCTTCACACATTCTGTTAGTTTAATAATTAATTTGAGATATTTGCCATTCTTCTAGCAACTTGCAGAAAAACTGTTATTATGCTGGATTTTTTTAGCTTTTTCTGTCACAAGCCACATTAAGCTTCTCCGTTTCTGCACATGCGGGCAGCAGGACCTGTCACCACGAGAAACGAACTCGAATGGAAAACATTTCATAAAGCTTCATGTCAGTTTGTGGTTTTTTTTTTAGCTTTCAATGGCGAAAAAAAAAACATCTCATTTTGATTTTTGCTTTTTAGGATTTGGGATAAGAACATATGATTTTGGTGACAGGTAAATCATTTTTATATGCAATATATACTGTACATTAGCCCAGGTTTGCACATTTATTCTAACCAAAGAATTCAATGGCAGCAAATATGACACCATTTGGCACGACACGTTCAACTACTAGAGGTCACATATTTTTCTAATACAAGTACAGAGCAACATACTGACACACACAGGGGCTAATTTGGGTCAATACTGTCTAACACATTTATCTAGGTACATTTTCAGTGTTCACAAAAAAAAAATAAAACTATTCAACCCCAACCTGAAATGACATGATTTGAAGACCAACTGTGAAACCACTCAAAAAACTGCAATATTCTAGTGTTTGTTTTCCTGCTAATTTCTGTTATTAAATAAGTTACCACATGGATTACTGACAAAAAGAGCCTCACCAGTTGTTTATGTCGGCGATAGTAAGACAGTTTAAGTATATTTTTATTTTTAATTACCAATTTCAGTAAAGCTGAACACACAGACCACAGCTGACGTACAAAAAATAAAAATAAAATGAAGCTTTACATTATTTTGAAAGTCAACTTGAATATCAAATCAGATTGGACAGCTTTTTTAATAAAAAAACAAAAAAGTCTGTAATATCTCTATGTGGAAAAAAATTATTCCAAACCATTTTTCTCAATATAGACCCATAATAATCTGTTTTAACTTTTGTTTGTTCAAATACGGTCATAATTGCATTAAAAAAAAGGTCAAATATCCAGAATACAAAGTAAGTTCAGTAGGATCTATCAACAAGTCACTGTGCGGTGAGTTGGTCTAAAGAGTTTAAGCTGAGAAGTGAATGTGAAAGAAAATAGTTAAGCTTCTTCTTACAAAACATTTCTGATAAAAAAGATTAGAAGAGAGTAGAGAATATTATGGTACCGTTAATAGTAAATCTGAAGGAAAGTCAGTGAGCAAGCCTGTCTAGGTCATCTGATAACAGCTGACAGAACAACAGATGATTGTTTTTGTTAAGCTCCAAAAAAACAAAACAAAATTACATTCATAAATTTTATCATAAAAAAAAAAGACTGACCTGAACCTCATCCATTTGCGTTAAGGTTCTCCATGGGTTGTAAATGCGGTTGAATCAGTTTTCTTGGCAAAAGCACTGACGTATAAAAATCTAGAAAGTATTTTTAGAGCAACATATGCTGCTTTCAGAACCACATCTTCTCAAGGGACATTGATGCATTTTAACCAAGAGAATAGAAAACACTCCACAGGTTCAGCACCAGGTCCAGACCCGACCCCAGCAGAGAATAGTGGACAATACCAAGGTCATAATTGGGTCAACTACCTTTTATACCACAAGATATGTTTGCAGAAAGAATGGGACCAAACATATGAAACCCTTCATGGTTTCACTCTGATCAAATACCAGAAAATTAGAAAGAAAAAAAACAAACAAAAAAACACTGAAGTATCTTGTTTTTTTTTTTTTTTGTTTGTTTGTTTGTTTTATTTTTTTTTTTTAAAGTCGCTGTTAAAATCTGGTTTCAACAGTAAACAAGAAATAGCCGTCCGGGCATAAAGAATGAAAACAAATAATTTGAACAGGTCAAAGCTTTCAGAAACCAAAGATCAGAAATCGGCCATAAATATCTAAACATACGGGTTTGCTGAACTGAAGACGTTTTACTCACTTAACCATGTTAAACAGACTTTTGCAACCGTTTGTTTAAATCATCGATTTGCTCTTTCATCGTCTTAGAGCAGGGGCGGAAAATCCTGGTTCTCAAGGGCCGACCGGTGACCAGCAACTCTTAAATGTCTCCCTGGTACAACACTCTTGAATCCAACAGCTGAATCACCTCCTAGGGAAGGTGATTCTCCAGAGTCCTGCTAATGACCTCATTATTTGTCTCATGTGTGTTGAAGTAGAGACGCATTGAAAAGTTGCAGGAGATTCTAGGCCTGGAGTTGCCCACCCCTGTGTTAGTGGTTCAGGAAGTGGCAGTGCTTTAGCGGCAACAACAGATGGCGCTGCTGCTCTGGGTGACGCAAGGAAAAAAAGGTAAAACATCTTGAAAATGGCATGAAAGCCCTTTTTGTTCTGAATAATTGGCTACATCTACAAACAAGTATATAAGAAGCTCAAATTTTAGTCTATCAAACATTCTTCGTGTCCATTTTTACCTAAAGACTCTACAAACAGAAGGAGTCAAAAGTTTGTCTGGATCATAGAACATCAATTGAACATCAACCGTTTCCATCACATGATCTCAGCTCTGGTTTTTCTGCTAATGTAACCTTTTTTTGAGCACATCGTTGAAAAGCCAAATAATTGTGCTGCAGCTCAGGGGCTCTCTGTGGCCGTGGAGGTTTCCAAGGAGTGGTAGTGAGCTTCATCAAGGTGCTTCTCTTCAGCTTCATCTTCATCAGGAAGCAGGGGTTTAGCTGGAGCCTCCACAGTCGGCTCGCTGGGCGGATCTCTCCTGGGCGCAGAGAGAGAGAAAGGAACAAACATCAGAAACATCAAATAATGCAAAACACACAAAAGACAACAAAAGAGCTGGAGCATCTGCTTTCATAAAAACACCACAGGCATAAATAAAACTGCTCCGATGAGTCATGCAGAGACAACAATACAGAAAAGGCCGAGCATGCTGCTGTAACAACACCACGCATTTCCAGGACAAGCGCCGCAACCCATAATCAGCTCAGAACGCCAGCGTTTACATCACAGAAACAAAGAGCAAACAAACAAGCAGTGATGGAAATAAACCCAAAGCCACAGCACAACTCAAAATAAATCAATCAATCAATCAGCGTGATAGAAAGACAAACAGGAAAAGTGGTGCAGAAGATCCAAATTTTACTTTCACTTACGAGGAGTTATTTGGTCGTTCAAAATCGGGCGTAACCGGGCCGCATGCTGCAAGCAAAAACAGTCCTCATGTGTCAAACTCAAAGGAGAATCAGGTTGGGTTTTTTTTTTCATTTATTGCATCTTTTACACTTCGTGTTTGCATTTATCTTCTGTTAATCCAAGCCTCACAACAGACTGATCCAACACTCACTAAAGCTCCAAACCCAAAGAAAACCTGATACCTTCAAACCAACAGAAACTATTGTTTCAACTTGAAATATTAAAATGTTAGGACTTTCAGACACTAATTATATGATTCTGACATTTTCTGCAAATGATACACTTAACATTAAAAAAATAAATGTTGAAAAAAAAATCTTACAGAATATAAACTTGGAGGAAAATTGTAATGTTCATTTACTTTAGTTTTATATATACTTTGGTTAATTAAATTGCCCATGAAAATATTTTCACACCTGAAGCTCATAATATATATAGGTATATATACATATATATACACAAACATGTATAGCAATCTATCTATTTTTATAGTTATTTAATAAAAAAATATATTTTTATATTTAGAATATAGAGTAAGAAATAATTTTTGCTTGCTTGGTGAATTGTTTATGTAAGCCTAAGACATTAGTGAGCATGTGCAGCTGTGGCTTTACAGTAAATAATTAAAATTTCAATATAGATAGCTGAAGATGTTGAAGGCACAACTCAATGTGTGAAATGAGGGGAAAAAAAGCTAAAATCAAGTTTATATGTTCTACATGTTTTATGAGATGTTGGTTTCATGCACTGCTGTGCTGGTTTGATCAAAGTACCTTTACCAGTTAATATCAAGTCTACAATATTATACATGGAGGGCCACAAGTTTCCATACAGAGGAGAATGTAAAGTGCATATTTCTTTTGTTTTTCAGATACCCAGTAAGATGCGCTTGACAAAAGAGCAACGAATTGAAATCATACTGATGGTTGCACGAAACTTTAACAGAAAACACGGAACGAGCATCTCACACACACACACAAACACACACACAAACACCCACACACTGTGGCAAAACTTATTTCCAAGTTTGAGAAAACTTGAAATGTTGCAGATCAACCACAAAGTGGTCCAAGACGTGCATTGATTACACAGAGTCTCACATAAATAAAAACAGTCGTCCAATATAAAATGTTTATTTTTCCTATGTATGGAAACTTATGGCCCACCTTGTGTTTTACTTATATAGATTTAGAAAATGAATTCTTAAATATCCTCTGTGATTCAGAGATTTGACTGATTCTGGTGGCAACTTGTGGGAAAACTAAGCTTACCCACTGATAGTAGTATTCTAGGAATTTTCACCAACTGATAAAACATCATCCAATGATTAAGACAAACCCACACACCAACACCGACACACAGCTGAGCGGTACCTTAGCGAGCAGCAGGAGGAGCAGGCCGGTGGGTGGCTGGCAGGCCAGGGTGCGCGGGATGCAAATGTTAGCACACACACACGCCGAACATGCAACACGGCTGCAGGGGGGCACGGCTGGTCTCTAGTCACTGGTTAATGGTTTGAGGATGAACACCAGTAAATTAATTTATTACTGAAGTGAGGCAGAAGGCTGAAAAAATAAAGTTCTGCGGGGTAGAAACTAAACCTCTGAGCCAGCTGTTATGGTAGCAAGTTGTTTTTTGGGAAGAAAAAAAAAAGAACCAGAAGCAAGAGGAATGTCCATATGAAGAAATTTATTTGATAATTTTTGTATAGTAGAAATTCAAACATTTGAGGTCATCAATCTTTATACTTCTTGCTGCCTCAACGCATGCATATTTCAGAAATCCTCTGTACAAAATGTTTTCATCCTTTCGCACCTGGACTCTTCAGTCGGTGCACACACGCCAGTGCAGTGCAATCTGCAGTCGTAGCTTTGATTATTTTAGTGGAGAAAGAAGAAAAACTGGCAGCTTCCTGTCATCTACTCTCGTCTTTGTCTAAACGCATCAAAACAGATCAAGAAACGGCAGAAAGCAGGTTGGCAAAGTTGAGGGAGGACATTTGGGACAAAGCTTCTACTGCACGGTGCAAAAAGATAATAAAATAAGTTTTAAAAAAAAATCTGAACCAAGATCTGATGCAGATCCAAATTAATGTTTCACTTGCTTGAAAAACATTTCATCATCTCAAGTGATGTAATTTTTTTTCAGAGCAGTAATCTTTTAATTTCGCAATCTTCATCTCTATACAGATGTTAAAACTTTAATAAATTTCAGAAGTCAGCAGTTTCCTGATGACCGACACCAGAAGGGACAGCCGGTGAGACGGGGACTAACAAAACCTGGCAGAGCAGACGCCACTCGTCTTAAAATGTGACGCTTTTTGACTCACGGAGGATTTAGAGTGAAAGCCGAACATGACGGATAAACACAGGAAATCAAACATAATGTGAAAATTATGTTTGATTGAGTGACAGCTTCCCAATCAGCCGTCACTCAGTTTTCAGTCGTTGTGTGCACTGATTTGATCTTTCTGTGGATCCATTAGAATCCAAATGTCACCTGCATATTTCTTCAACAATATTACATTTAAAAGTTTCCATTAAACTATATAATCCACAGTATAGGCACCATGTATAAATATGCAAAAACAAAAATGTTGAGTTTTGTACATTTCTTCATCATAAGCTGTAAAATCTCTGCACGTCTAGAGTTGTTGTCTGATGTTTTCTATGAAATTAAAAGTCTTATGAATAATTTCTGCTCATCCATTGTGACAGAGTTCAAAAGTGTTCATACATCTTGAACTTTTCACATTATGTCACATTAAACACACATTTCAATTTATTTAATTGAGATTTTAAGTGGCAGACCAAGACATAGTAAAGAATTATTGTGGAAAAAAATTATATTTCTAAATTTAATTAAATTTTCAGTTTTCTGCCACTTCATTCATTTAGTGATGTCCTATCTTGTGTTGGTTAATCACATAAAATACAAAGAAAACATATTAAAACTGTTTCTCCACAATGAAAAGCATCTAAAGAATCAATGAATAATTCAAGAGGATTTTTAAAGTGATTTAAAAACTGTATTATATGGACCACCAGATGATTAGGACAGTAGATCGGAGTCTATAGGCGGAATGATTTTCTACAACATGTGTGAGCCACAGTGTTTCATGCGGTCCTCCAGAGTGACGCATGAACAGAACCTTGAAGATAACCGTCGTATGCTTAAAAATTATTTTATCACTCAATCAAAGCCGTTTTTATCTGTATGCTGCCAAATTACATCAATCAGTCCCACCAGTTTTTTGTGATTGTGGAAATTCACACAAAGTCAACGGATCCCAGCATTTTTTCATTTTTGATGCTAATCCATAATTGAGAGTTTATTACAAATCTTCTGAAAAAAAAAGGGGGGGGGGGTAGAAATCATTGGCTTAAAGTGATGCCAATTCCCACCTGTAGGTGGCAGTATTCCATGTTTTTACTACACTTGGTGAATCAGTGATGATATTGGAAAAATGCTTGCAATCATTTCTAAGTTAGCTCCACAAAACAGATTTAGATTGCCAAAAAAAAAGAAGAAAACTAAATAAAATTCTGGAGGTACCTTTCAATGAAAAGGTGTCATTTAATATTAGGAGGTATGCAGTCACAGCCATTTATTACTATTTTAACAGTTTGTTAATGAGTTTTATTAATACATTCTGGCACAACAGGCTCTTTGAGAATGTCAATGCTCTCGAAATTAGTTTGATGCCCAACCAGTTTCCCAACTAGTGGCCAATGATATGGAAAGCTATAGATGTGCTGGAATGACAGCAGCATGTTGCGATTTAAAAGTCATGTTTGTTGGTTAATGAAGGAGGAATGATGGGAACTAAATCGCCTCACCTGCATCTTTGCAGGTGATACAAAGAAAGTCATTTAAAGTGGTAGCGTGACAATGTATGTTCATTTAATCTAAATTACGCATCGGCTTGTGAATGGGAATTATCGCCCACTTCTTTTGTTTGTTTTTTTGACTTCAGAAAATGCAAAAGTAAAATAAAAAGAAAACCATTTTTAAATGTCATCGTCGCTGCTTGTTCAGATTACTTGATGATAAAGCAGAGAAATGGCTCAGCAGGACTCTAAAGCATGGACAGAAGCACCAGTGTTGGAGCACAATGTCCAAGTTCACAGACTGATACCGAGACGGTTCCATTTTGTTTTCATACACAAAGTCACAAACAGAGATTATTAGTTTCATAAAGTGCGTTTTTCTTTTCTTTTTTTTCTTCCATGAACAGATAATAAGATATTGCGTGACAAGCACTTTTTGTATGTACAGTAAACATTCAGTTTTCTTGGTTAAAACATTTACATGACCTCTCGTGTCAGAGGAATACAAAACTTCACAGCATGAAAAGGCAGAAATAATTCAATACTGAAAAATCCAGTAAAATTAAAAACTATTATGTTTTTACAGTATGAAAATCCTCTTTGGGATCAACCGCCTTCTTTTACATTTCCTTCACGCCGTCATTCCGATGGAGAGCACTGACATTAGTGGAAATAGGGCAGGGAAGTTTCATCCCCTCAGTTATACAAAAGTACATGTTCATGCATGAAAGGCGAGAAAAAAGGCCCATTTTTCTCAGAGGGAACGTCCGACACGTGGATTGGAAATATTTACGGCACAAAGTCTGTTCTGGTTTGGTCGTGAGGTCAGACAGACGACTCGGACGATGGCGACGGAGGAAGAGAAGAAAGGAGGGTGACGGACACACCCGCGTCTCTTCCTCGGACTCGAGAGGAGTTTATTGCCGCAAGCAGGAGGCAGGAAAAGAGGGTGAGGGGGAAGAGGAAGGAGCCTGTCCTATCACATCGTCTCACACTGTGGAAATCAATTTGACCTCTGAGGAACTGTGGACAGAAAGAGGAAGAGGATTCCAGGTGGGCTGACTGGGAAAGAAACAGCAGCAGCAAAACCAGCAGGACACACAAGGCTGAAATCTGCGAGTTTGTCTTGACCTGAGCCTGAATGTTCACTAAGCCAAAGAGCTACAGCAGCACGTTGGGGGTGAGTGGAGCCAGGAAATAAAGCAAGAAAAGCAGCATGGTGGCTGTGAGGCGATGGAGGAGTCGGGATGCGAATGGGTTCAGAAAATGAATGAACCAAAGACGGTGAAATGAACTTCAACAGAAACAAACACACATCAAACTGAAGACTTCAAACTATTAAACTTCTATAACTGGTCATGCCTAAAATTTTTACCTTTATTGGAAATTTATCAATTGTCACATAAAAGAAGCTCTTATTTTGAAAAAGTGCATTGAACTCTGTCAAAGCAGTCCAGTTCATCTGATTTGAAATGAATCGGCTCATTCTTTCCGACGTTCCAACCTGCAGCCAGTCAGATCAGAGCATGGATCCAGACCTCAGTGTAATACAGGATGTCTGCAGATTTAACCAACTCAAGTTTCAGACCTGTTTCTTCACAGAAATGTATGAAATTTGTTCATCCAACTGGCAACAAATTAACACTTTTCCATGCTAAATTAGCTGGTTAGAAAGCTATGTCGGCGGTTTTAGCAGTAGCTTAAACCGCCGAGTCAGAGAACGCACTGACGATGTTAGAGTGCGACTCAAACTAAATACACAGAATACACAAGATTTAATAGTCTTAGACTACATTTAAGACCTTCCTTTAACACATTAAAGGCTAACTTTCTCTTTTTAAAATGAATTTAAGAGGTTTTAAGGATGAGTGGACATCCTGTGACAGACAGTCAACATGACAAGATCTCCTTTATGGTTTCATGGCAAACAAATGTTGACAGAAAAGGATGGAAACACAGAAAAACTAAAAGATTAAACCAAATCAAAAGTGTGCTGCACCAATTGTCCCAACCCCTCAGCCATGTCTGAAGAGCTAATACTCTTTGGTTCCCCTCCCACTGACTGAACAGGACTACTAGAGCGGTTCTTACCTGGTGGGGAAGCGGGGCTCGTACTCTTCAGCTCCCTGCTGCAGACAAAAAGCAGAGAGAAAATTAGTTACAGTTTATTCTGCAACGACGTGTATTTACTTCCGAGAGCTTGAGGACTGTTGCAATAATCACAACAGTCAGCAGCAAAGTTGTTTGTTGTTTTATATAGTCTTTCAATTTTCAGATTAAAACTGAATGTTCACAGCTTGGGGGAATGTTTTAGAAACTGAACATGTTTTTAACTTCCACACTTTTCTCACCATCCTGTCTAAACCACACTCATTTTTATTTATGGGTAGCAACGTAAATAGGGACGAATATGTCGCAATTTTTAGGCTTATTTATCAAAGAATTAGAAAACGATATACAGTATACATTTCTGTGCTCTTCCACAATAATGCATAACTTTGTGTTGATCCATCTTAATAAAGTTTGTGATTGCTTTATGATAAAATCTTAAAAAGTTCAAGCGGTGTGAAAACTTCTACAGGTCAAAGATCTGTACATCCAGTCTGGCATTGCCTTTGTTACAATTCAGCATAAAAAAAATAGAAGAATTAAAAACTATGAAAGACAAAATATTTTAAAATAAATAAATGAACACACAAACCCAGAATTGTGACATGAGTCATCAACTTAAAGGCCTGATAAGTGAAAGAGTTTGAGAAGCAGAGATTTTCTGAGTAGACGGCGACTAAATGACAATCCTCGGCGGCGGAGAGGCAGAAAGAGCAGTTTAAGTTGTTACATGACGGCAGTGCAATTAAGCGTCGCCCACATGTTGTGTTCTAGGTGAGGCGTAGGAGGGGATCTGGGCTGATGCAGAGGGGTTCACCGTTTCATAAGACTCTTCCTGCCTTAAGATGAATTCTTATCCGTCTCACAGGTGTTTTCTCTGAATTTTCTCTTTCTGCGCTGCGTCACATCCTGCCACCAGGCACAGCCCATTCCTGCAGTAATGTAAGCTAGCGCCGCACACCATTGTTCTTGCTAATTAGTTTTAGTCTAGTTGCTAGTGCAAATATTGCAGCATGCTTGAATACAAGCAAAACTAACATAGAAGCAACTTTTCATCCACATAGAGCAGCTTGTTAAAAACTTCTCAATATTGATGGAAAAAGTACTAGATCCACTTATAACTTATGATGTTTTTTGAGGGAAATTACTTTTTCATCTATATTAAGAAATTATTGACTTAAACAAGCTCCAGGTCTTGCTGAAATGTTGTAAGTCTGTTTTGTCTTATTTTAAGTCTAATGAGTTGTTTGCACTTTAAACAAGAGACCAAAAATATTTGGAAAGCTGTTGTGTTTTTGCAGTGCGGCATCTCTGTGATGGCTCAGGTCGTGTTTTGTGGGTTTATGTGCTGACGTTCTGCAGCATCTGTACCTGCGGGAAGCCTGGCACTGCGACGCTGTAGGGACGCTGTTGCCTGTGCAACGTGGCTGTGCTTTGTGCAGACATTCGAGTGCGAGTGCCGTAATCGGGGCCGGGCAGAGGCATGTCCTCTCTCTCCAGAAGGTTCCCTGTGCTGCTGCTTTTCCCGTGGTGGAGGCTGGAGACACAAGAGAGCATGGAAAGTTAAAAACTGGAACCATGTTGTTCCTGTATCCCATCTGGGCCAGTTAGTGGAGAGAGCACATCTGTAAGAATGGAACTGGGAGTTGTTCAAACATCTGGAATTTACAAATATTAGAGACACAGTTAACTTCACGTACTTGTGAACTCGAAGCTGCCTCATGGTGTCGCCGTTGCTCTCAGAGACCAGCCGAGTGTAGGAGAAAGGAAACCAGCCCCGCCTGGTGGAGAAGAGACAGCAGGTCAACAAACATTCATTCCTTTTCAATTTCTGAACCGTAGAGTAGAAACAGAAACATCACATGTTCTATCCCATACTACACTCACATCCTCGTCTTCTCGTTCTCGCCGTAGTGCCAGCCGTCTCGCGCCTCAGGCACCAGCAGGGTGATGACGTCGCCCTCGGCGAAGCTCAGCAGCGTGCTGTTGTCTCCGGCGGCGTGGGAGAAGACGGCCTGGACTCGAGTTCTGCCGTTCTTTTCCAGACCTGCGGCCATGGAGCTGGAGCGGGGCAGCGTGCGAGTCTCCACTGGAGGAAAAAAACAACAACAACACAAAGATTTTAGTCTTGGAGTCGTGAAACATGGAAAGAGAGCCGGAATAAATTCAGAGGAGGCGTTACTGTCCTCTGTTATATTGTACAGCGATTCAAGCAGAACAACAGTTTTATGCAAGTCACCCATTTTAAATATCACATGTTCTATTCCCACTTGTTTTAGTCTGTTATTAAACCAGCTATGATAAGAATAAGCTGAGTCTTATCCTAAAATATTGCCCATAGGGCTGCAACTAACAATCATTTAAGTTATTAATTAATGAGATTTTAAAAATGGCACATTCTTCATATTTTCACTTAAGACCTTTTATGCAATAGGAACACATTAAAAGATTAAAATAAAGCAGTAATTCAATTACTTTTCTAAATAAGAAAATATGCATTTTGTTTTGTATTTAGTAAATGCAACAGTGCAGCGTTTCTTTAGTGACATTTGAAAATCTCAGCCATTTCTGCTCGACTTAGTGTCAATGCAGAGCTGATCTGTTCATAATCTTTTGGAAGAACTGAAATTTCATTCTGTATTATTTAAGACAAAACATATTTTTTTCTTAAATTCAAATGTATATATTTTCATACAGCTTAATTATTGTCTGTTTTTATTTTAGCAAATTGCCCGTTTTCAAGAGTCTGCACACTCCAGTAAATGATTAATCGATTACTCAATTAGTTGATTATTTCAATACTTCCTCATAATTAATACGATTAATTGTTTCAGCCCTGATTACTGGTCTCTCCTGCTGATTTAGTGAACCGTTGTGTTGTTGCAGCTTCATGCTGAGCACGGTTTGCACTCAAAGGATTAATAAAGTAATCGGAGTCTTAACTCAATTCTCAGCCGAGTTAATCAACGGAGGACGCAAAATAAAACTGCATCCGCAAACCCAGCAACGAAAAGGATTTCGGTAGACGTCTTTACCATGGAGACTTGTTATTTTTCATGCTTCTACTAAACCTTTGAAGAAAGGAGAGGTGTGTGTCCTTACATTGGGGGGTCTTGCTCTTTGTGGGGGCGGCCTTGCGCACAGGCAGGGTGTTGGAGTAGACCTCTGCTCCGTGCCGCTGAGGCTGCGGGGAGGCTTTGCCCTGCGCCACCTTGCTCTCCATCCACTGCTGGTAGTCCTCTCCACCTGCTGCTCCGTTCATCGCCGGCATCGCTGCGTCCATCAGCCGCTGCGAGACAGCGAGCCGTTGAGACGATTAAAACCCGCTCCTGCACATCTACATTAGTTGCATAACTTCCTGCAGCTCATTAGAGATAATGAAGGTGTCGAGTGGCTGTTGGTCAGAAACGCTTCATTAATTAAAATTGTTTATGTACAGAGTTAAAAGCAAACATCTGTGAAAGAGTTTCAAGGCATTATTATTACATAATAATGTAACATAGGTGTATATGCACCGTTTGTTAATTAGGTTTCAAACAAAACCACAATATGGATGTATTATTTGTCCAGGAGAAGAGAGCTAGCTTAATGATGTCACAAATTTAAACAGCAACAAGCCTGTGACTGATTCAATAAAATTTTATTTATACTTTGGATCTCAAAGCAGCACTTCACTTACAACCCCTCAAATACTTAAAGCATTTTTAAAGTCTTATTTGGAGTAATTTAATCATGTTTTACCATGATGAAATGCTACCCTAATTTAGTCGTGTGTACAGTAAAGTTTACTCATGCAAAAAGGTTCTGTCAAAGAAATTACACGAGTGACAAAATAATAATAATAATAATATATGTAGATAACACAACTGCAAAATAACAAATTCAGACAAAAAGAGACATTTTTGCATATCAATGCCTTTCAATATAAAACATTTAAAACAAAAACTGCAGGTGGGTGTCTGGTAAATCTTTGGTTAAAACAAGTTTGTTAATTATTCACTGTGTGGATTTTCAATTGTGTTCATTATTCACAATTATTCACTCCTCACACTGGTTAAAGTGTCCAGAAATGTTCCTGAAGAGTGGCGATACGTCAGAATAAAATTACTTAACTAAAACTAAAACCTACAATGTAGTGAAAATATACACCTAAAAGTATTTTGTTTTACTCAAATTACTCAAGTAAATGTACGTAGTCACTACCTTCTGTTTCTATAAATGTACATTAAAAGGAACATTTTGTGCTGCATGTTTTGAGCTTCTTGTTTCTGCACTCGGTGAGAAGCTGCACTAAATGAAACACATTGCGCGTCCCTGCTCCTTCAATCAGACATTTCTCCATATATGAGTTCTCACTTCCGGTGTGAACTGTAAATGATGAGTCAGAAAGCCATTAGACCGCTCTTAGCCAGAGCAAAAGGAAAAAACACAATTAACTCCTTGATTGCTTCTGTTTTACACTGGAATAGACTCGCTTTTTTACAATTTGTGAAAGTGAATGTTTTTACTGTTTATTTGTTCAGATTCGTCTTTATCTGCAGGCTTCAGTCGTGTGAACAGAGACGCTGCTCCATTTCTCAGTTTGTGTGAAACGCCTCGTCGTTTGTCTGGTGCGGTAAGGCTTGGGAGAAACTGACCTGCTGGCCCATGGTGGCGCCGGCCCGCAGGGCTGCCAGCTCTGGAGGCATGGGCAGAGGTTTGGCGCCAGAGATGGGCTCGGAGATGCCGGGGTGGAGGGCGCCGGGAGGCACGCCGCCCACCGCGCCACTCATCTGCTGCGCCAGGAACATGGCCCGATCCGGCAGCTTGGTCGGTTCGGCGCACACCTGCTGCCACATGGGGATCTTCTGGGACAAAAGCTCCTTACCCTGGAAACAGAGAGAGAGAGAGAGGGAAGGAGAGAAAACAGGCTCAGCATGATCTCTTATATGGAGATTTATTTGGGCAGACAATTTTTGAATCATCAGAAATTAAACGGTCAAAACATTAAATTGGGGATTTCTGTTAAAGAAGTACACCAGCAGCCTCAATTAGGCAGAGTATGAGGAATTTAAATGTAAAATCATTTAGAATCTTGATATTAGCAAAGGGAATAACGAGGAGACACCAAATGGAAAACTGGATCTACGTGCTGCATGTTATTTATATTACAGAGAAGCTAACCTCTTTCAGGAGACTTGAAGTGAATAAATTTCAGTGTGGAAAGCGTGGTTTAACTACATTAAACCAATCATCGGATTTTGTATGAAAATAATTTTTTGGTCAAGAGGCTGAGTTTCATACATTGTTATGCAAGCATTCGTGTATTCATTCGATTTAAGCTTTGAAAGCTTTGAAACATTCTGGAGTTGCTTGAAAAGGAGAAAATAAATGTTCAAAATCCAAAGCCACCAGTTATTTGTAGTTTTCTACAGATCACATTTTTCAGCAAAGTCTATAATTCAGAGTAAAACGGGTTGTAAAGTGAAACTGGCAGGAAACTGAAGAAGCTCGCGAATCGTCTCTGCGAGAAGCTCTCAGCTGCTGCAGGACGTGTCCATGCATTATACAGCAGAGAAGTTACATAAAGACCTCATCTGCATTCATCTTCAGGGAAGAACAAACAGATCCAAATCTGGAATTAAAACTCGGCTGGTTCTCACCCTGCCAAGGAAGTGGGCGGGCTGCAGAGGCAGGCAGCAGTCAAATTACGAGAATCCAGAAAACAAACCTCTAATGTGAACCGACCCTCTTTAACTTTTAACATCCTTAATCAGAGTCGTTCTGCCTCTGCTTTGTTTCTGTGAACTGCCGCTGACACAGAGAAGAATGAGAAGTCACAGTTCTGTTTCTTTGTGTTCTGCAAACTTTTCCTGAGAACATCTTTGCTGTCGGTGAAAGCGATGAGTCACTGCAACCCCAGTTAGTCTGGCAGATAGCGAAGATGTAGCGTAGGTGGCCGGTGCCTTTACCGGCGTTAGGATAATCGACAGGCACAGATGGCGGCTGCTTTATTCTGCTCTCAGAGGACAGAGTGAAGAACAGAAACAGACTGATCACCTGGTCAACTTCTCTGGCTGCAGCAGAGGTTTTACAGAAAAGGAGAACAGCAGCATTATCTCCGTGAAACACAACTTTCAGAAACAACTCTGAAGCCGTTGTCTCAGGCGGCGTGGGAGAAGATTAATCTATTTAAACATTTCAGCCCTTAATTGTCTAGATTAATTATTTCTGATTTAGTCCTGAGAAAAATAGTTATGTTTTAATAATCTATTTTTGTCAAAATACATTGTTTGATAACATTACAGAATCATTCATTGTCTCCATCTTGCCGTCACTCAGGAGCATCAGGACGACCCCGAAACGTGACTTCGAAAAGAAAAATGTCTCCAGTTCAAAGGAATTTTTAGCATCTTTTGCTTCGGATCAAAAACTCTCCCTGTAATTGGCATGAGGACAGCTGGCGGTCGCTCTGAGTCTAATTTAATACCTTTTTGATGTTTAATCATCCCATCAGCTGTTTGTGTTTTCCGCTTCCTCCTGTCTATCAATCACTCATTCAGACACTTTCACACCCACACGCAGTGAGTCGGAACCAAGTGTTCCTGCAGAAGTAGGTCATCCTCCCGGCCGCCTTCGCCCTCCTCCTGCTCCTCAGGCTCCACATGAGAAGTAGAGAGGATGTAGCCATTCGAGGAAGAAATGGGAGCGGCTGTGAGCCTGTGATTGGCTGAGTGAGAAGCATCTGGGCGAGTGCTGGGGGGTTTACCATTTCATGACGATTTATAAATAAACAGATGAACATGAGAATGGAACAAAGCGACAAGCCTGAACACCTTTTATGATCTGCCCATCTGCAAAGCCGATGAACAATATCAAATACTTCATTTTTGTTCCTGTAGCAACATTATTACTCATTTTCCTCACTAAATAAAGTCGCATTTCTGATTCCCCTGATCTTGCTCTCCCTCTTTCTCCCTGAACTTGTGTTTTTCTACAGCTTCAGGGTTTCTGACAGAAGTTTCAGTTGCAATTTTCATCAATAACGTTCCAATATCACATCTATAGAATGTTATTCAGCCCTAAACAAGACTGAATAAGCAATTAATAAATTAATCATATGGTAAATTAATTTTTCTATTTTGGATATTTAAAATATCGTCCAGTTCCAGTTAAACTGTTCGTCACAAAATTAAAGTTTACTGCTCTTTAAAAGGGCAGATTTAAATTATGGCATTATTAATATATTAGTTGAAAATGGTCTGAAATAAATGGTGTGGCAGGTCCAAACAACGTCGATTTGCTTTGTTGCTTCAATTTCTAGTGAAATGACAGAAATGATTCATTTCTAGTGAAATTATTGCTCTACCAAACCCGTTCCTGTGCTGGTCTCACCTTGTTGTGGTAGGCACTGCTGTTCTTGGCCACGGCGCACTGACGGTCCACCAGGAAGCAGTACCTCCTTCGCTCCTCAGACAGAGCGTTCTTGTAGCCCTCGGCGATGTAGTTGTCCAGCTCGCTCTGCTTGTTGCTGATGGCCTCCACATACTGGGAAGAAAAGGGAAATAAATAAAAAAATCCAGAGATTTTCCAGCTGTCTCTAAACAGTAACGATGACAAAAAAAAGTGCAAAAAACAAACAAACAAAAAAACTAAGCAAAAGAAGACTCCATAATAAACATTTTATGGAGTGGGTGAATCAGTCCTTCACATGCTTCAAACGGTGACATGTATAAAATAAAATAAAAAATTGTGTTTTTCTAGGGTTGCCTTGGATATTAAGTCAAAAATGTCCCAGGAAATTAAAACAGCAACTTTCTGATCAACATCTCCCACTGGGTTGTAGCTAGAGCTGGGCAATATTGCCTAAAACCAATAAAATAAACATTCATTGATTAGTCTTTTGTTTTAAGCATCTGAAATGCTGCCAAACTGGTGATGTGACCACTTCCTGTCTTACCCACAGTTTCCACTCAATGCAGTTTTTAATTTCTAAGGCATTAAACTGCAGCTGCTAAAGTTGCTCGGCAGTTTGTTGCAAGGTAACCAAAGGGTGAGCGAGTTGCTTGATCCCACCAACCTAGCTGATTAGTTGACCATACGAGGTTGAGCAGCTAAAGCTCTTCTTCTGCCTACATCCCCCACAATGCTGTGCGGTTCTGCGGCAGTGATATCAGCGGAGCCTCGCGGAAACGTCGACACCAACGACTGAATGCAGTGAACCAGACTTCATCCACAGCTTCAGTCAGACAAGAGGAGCTTCTGAAGAGTTTAAACAAAGTGAAACGTCGTCCTCAGCGTTAGTCTGCCGTCAGAAGCAGTGTGAGGAGAGTCGATGGCCTTTCACACACAAACTCTGCATCCCACACCGACCTGCACATTCAGCTGCTTCAGCCAATAGCTGAGGGCGGGCTGGATGTTCAGGAATAGCCCGATGGTGCCAGGAGTCGGATCTATAGAGCGAGTCGAGTCATCCAGCGATGCTCCATAATCACCATCACACTTTGAGCAACACCAGAGTTGCTAATTATGGAATTAATGAAGCAAAGCAGACATTCATTAAGGATATTTTTCTGCCTCATTTGCATTCTTATCTAAACATAAAGAAACTGAGAAGGTCACTTAATGAATTTTAAACACTTGGTAACTTTTCTGTCTTCAAATAAGCATTTAAGGTTATGTAAAGATCCGATTGGCTTTTTCTCACCAAGGCTGAATTTACACCCATAGATGTCTTATTTTCTTTTTCATACACAACTTTGTGTATGAAACAAAAATTGCTGGAAGCTTTTTTCAGCTAGAAGTTTCCAGCATAACTTGTAGCTGGAAAAGTTACGCAGATTGAGATGTTTTCAGAGCGGCGCCTTCCTTCTAGAGATGAACTGCTGCTTCAGTTTCTGTCAACAAATGCATTTCCACAATAAACCTTTAAGGCATAAGCGCAAAGAAAAGAAGCTGAAAAAATGGAACAGCAATCGAAAAGATTATTTTGAAAGTTTTGTCCTCTTTGTTAATGTCTGGAAAACTACAAATAGAACAGAAATTATTCAGAGCTGATCAGATGCAGGATGCATTGTGCATGGTGGTGCATAAATCAATTTGCAGCATCACAAAGCTTGTTAGATGCAGAAAATGATAACATAAGATGCAAAACTATGTAAAATTCTGCAGAGCTCACTGGAGGGACTCTTTGAGGGCAGTGTTGATTTTTCTGAAAATTATCAAAATTCATTCCAGGAGTCATTTTAGCTCAGCTTTCAATCAATAAACTCTCTAATCAAAGCAGCTGGAAATAATATGAAAACATACAATAATCACTAAGGAGTTACAAGGATGAATTAAAATGAGCATGAAAATTCACATTCTGGTGATTAACATTTTTTTGAAGGGCGATTCTGCTTTCAGAAACTTTGTAATCCTTTTTATTTATTGTTTTTGGTTGTGTTTTATTTTGGATAGTGGATATCGTTTGTCTTCCAGTTCCAGTGTGGAGTATTCTTTACAAAATAAAAGTTCATTAGTCTTTGAGAGGATGACCTAGCATCATCAATATATTGGTTGAAAATGGCCTCAAAACGTCAATATTATCATTGCAGTGGCCAGACGAGCGACATCTGTGAACTTTGGGAGGAACGGAGCATCATTTTGATGACGTTATAAGCAGAACGAAGCTTCGCCACCCGGATGTGCTCATTAATCAGAGCTGCTCCTCATGTGGGCTCATCCAGCAGCCACTGTGAAGTGGCCATTACAGAGGAAGACGGAGGCAGCTAATGAAGAGGACAAGCTGCGTTCAGGGTCCGGGTTCAGGCCAGCAGGTGGGAGCACATGTTCCACACAGCTGCTGGCGGTCAAGGAGAACCCACCGTTTCTTCAATCATCTCTCAGCACGAAGCTGCGAACAGCTGGGAGCATTTAACGACAACACGCAGGACTCAGGACGCTACCAGTAAGTGGTGCAGGAGGCAAGTCCTCCATGAAGTTCATTTATTTAGATACGGGCTGGCCTTTCGTGCTGCTGCCAATCAGCTTCTTCATTACAATAAATCAGACTCTGCAGCTGGGGTCCAGCTGACAGAGACAATAATCAGCTTTTCCCAACTTCTGCTTACAGAGGAGCACACCTGCAAGAAAAGCTCTGCTGAGTGCGAAACATGTCAGCAAGGAAGCTGACAGAGGTTGTCGTAATTAGCCCTGCAGAAGGGATTTTTAAAGTGTGTGATGTTTTCTTCAGGTTGAAGCCCTCCTCCTGTCAGTGGGATGTCAAAATGTGGTGCAGCCGTATGCAAATTCACTGTGGTGATGTGATGAGTGGGCTGGAAGATTAAAGAAAAGCTGAGTTTGGACTCCGAATTCCCTTTGAACCGATGAACTGATCACTCTGCAAGATGGACGAAAACAAACTAGAAGGGATAAACTGTGGTGTGGGTTCGCTGTGGAGATGAAATGAAGAATAAAAACTGATATTTGGGATCCATGACAAGTTACCCGCATTCATATAGAAGAAAAAACTGGCTTATCGTGCACAAAGGCCTTAATCGTGCTTTTAGTTCAATGCCTAATCAATGACATGTTCCTCTGGTTGATGCTCTGGTCTGAATTAATAGTTGGAAACTCAAAACCTTTGAGATGCAGACTCTGGTCCTGTCCCCAGACTGCATGTGGAGGACAATTAAGTCTGAAAACAAAACTCCAAATCAGTCAAATACAGAGAGCATTCATGTAGAAACTCTTGCATCTATTAGTTTAAATCTAATATATCTAAAAACAAAAACTTTCATAAGTTTATGTTTGATCTAGACCTGCTTTAATTTCTCTCTAAAACAGTGTCTCTCAGCATTCAGGTTCAGTGCAACAACTAATCTCTCTTGCACATGTCTTTTCTTAACATAAGAGAGAAAATGAACTCTTATTTGTATTAATTAGACTACATATGAATTTGAATTAGATTTTGATTGGTTGATTTGACACCAATTTGGCATAATTAGATATAAAACAGACCTGCTTTACTCCTATGAGACGACGTTCGCTGCAGTTAATGCCAATTAAAAGTGGATTGTAAACACTATTGATTCATCAATTGCTGAATCTTATTACGGATTCACATTAAACCAGCTATTGATTACACATTAATCTGACTGAAGATCAATCAGTCAAATTTGATTTGTATAGCACATTTCTGCAGCAAGGCATTTCAAAGTGCATGACAAACACAAAGTCATGCAACATGGACTCAACAATCAAACCATGACATTAAGTCAAGTGTCATCATGAAATTTGTAATTGATTACGTTTCAAATACAAATAAAAGTGGGTTTTTAGTCGAGCTTTAAAAGAAGTCGGTGTTTTACTCCTCAGTCATCTTTTCTCCATGTGACTGAATCCATTTTTGTTTGGAAGAATCAAGAGCTTATAAATCTCTTGGAAACAAGTTTATATATAAAAGAAAAAAGGCAGTTGCAAATCTTGTTGCTATGCAGCTAATTAAAAGTTGGACAGAGTGAAAATGCTTGAACTGTGGAGCTCATAGCCTCATTATACAGAGTTTAAAGGAAAGGCAGGAAGCTTTGCTCAAAAAAAAACAAAAAAAACCCACATACACCGACTCCATGTCGCGTTTTGCTCTTTCTAAAGGTCAGTTCTGTTGCTACATGTTTCAGCCAGGAAACGCTCCAAATAATCCTGATCCTTCAGTACACATTGTTCCCTATGTAGAGAACAAAACACTTTGTAAGGAAAAGAAATGTTACATTATAAATATCTTCCAGTCGAAACAGTCTTTTGTTGGAGGTAACAAACACAGACCGGCTCTGATAGCTGTAATCTAAATTAGTGAGGTTTCACATTGTGGAAGTTTGCTTCCTCTCCCGCCACAAACAGAACCAAACCTCTGCAGCAACATGAGGTGGAAAGAATCGAACTCTCAGCCGAGACCAACAGCTTTCACACTCAATAAGCCACTGAAGCCCAGAGGGGCCGATGGACTTTAAACCTAAACGTTTCCGCGCCGCAACTCTTCGTACTGTAGCTCCAGCGATCAATTTTTTTTTTTCTTTTTTTGGAAAAGCCACCAGGCCGACCCCTCCTTGCTCAACCAACCATCCATAGCTGCAGAAACACTAACAATTAGACAGTAATTGCCACCCCTGCTGCTCCGACAGAGCAGCTTGACGCCACGTTTTCAGCCTCTGCAAGTCCTGAAGCTCTCTGTGGCGGGTCAGACATGACAGTCTTCATCGTCTGCTGCAAATGTTTTAATAATTAGCAAGCTCTAAACTATGAAAACAAAATCCTACATCCCTGTAATACTTTTAACAAATGACGGAAAATCGTGGCTTTTTATTAAATTTGCTGCACAAAACAGGTCAGCTAGGATTCATGAATTGCAGGGCTACAGGGAAAAACATTTGGATTTAGATTAAAGAAATGTCAGAATAATTAGCTGTAACGAAACGGAGCCGTGACGCCGCCTGACATCTAACCGAGCTGCAGGTAAATTGTTTTGTTGCTCTGTGCAGACAGGCTGTCAGCGGTTGAAGTCCCACATTCCCAGTTTCATACCGGCTTTAATTATTTGTGTCGCACTCAACAACGAGCTCAGACGAGGCAGAAATGCACGACACGCTTTATCGAGGCCCAACAACTGGAGCTGAAGAAATAAAGCAGAAAATCTCCGAGGCTTATGTCTAAGGGAAGGAGGAAGCGATTAGTTTTACAGCTAAAAGTGTTGTGTTCGTGTTATGATTATAGATAAAAAACAAAGCAAGTGAACAAATGGCTTTGATAGAGTTAGTTCGTCTGTCTCTGTGCCAGCTGATGGACGGATAAGAGGCTCATGACGGCAGCCTCTGGTGTGCAGGTTGTGTAATAAGAGTCGGCCCACCGTGTGTCACCACATCACCTCCAGACAGGAGCTCAGAGACATGCACCATGTAATCACACCTCCGCTCCACCAGAACATCAGCCAAACGCTCACCTTCCCCACTTATCCATCACACTCAGGAGAGCAGAAGGTAATGAATCAGTCAGAGCACTGGCAGACGGTAAATACTGTGATCCCTGGCCCTGAGAGGATTTCTCAGTTTCGCTAAACTTTTCAATGATGACTTTAAATATAAAAGAACTGTTTTTTTTTTTTTTGCTGTTTGTTTTTGCTTTTTTTTTTTTTAAAGGTTTTGTCACAGAAGGAAGCTTGAAGCCCATCAGGAAGACAAAAATGCATTTCTAAAAAGAGTTATTAAAGGTTGCTCTTAATCAAACAGTTTGTATGAATGCAACAAAAATCTGCTTGGAGCTGAGTGTAAAAGTGCTCTGGAAAAATAAACTTTTACTAAGTATTCTTTATTTAATTTGAAGTTCAAACATTTCAGTAGACTTCAATTAATAAGTAATTTTTCAGCAAAATATAGAACCAGGAAAGTTGATTAACAAATACTAGATCCAGTAGAGGATTATATAATTTATAACAATTTAAAATGCATGTTCCTGCATTTTAAATTAAAATCATCTTCTAATGGAATGAATACACTTGATCAGTATTTAAGAATCATTGGCAACAAGCTCATATTTTCCTGAAAGGTCACTTCTAGGTAAGTTTGTCTTATCTTAAGTGTACAAAAATATTTGCTCTAGAAACTCGACCAAAAATATTTAGTATGATTTTGTTTTTGCAGTGTGTGAATAAAGGAAAAAGTTTTCTGCTGATGTCAACAGCTGAATATATAACAACTTGCATCAGCAAGTGCTCGATGCATCAGCAAGTGCTGCATCGAGATGCAGCACTCTAGATGCAGCACACTCTATGTGCTGCATCTCTACACACACACACACACACTGACCTGCATCTCCTTATCTCCATACTTGGAGGGGTGCTTGCTGCCCTGGCTCTTCCTGCGCAGCTTCTTCAGCTCCGCCTGGCATTTCTCCAGACTCTCCCCTTTGCTCTTGTGCTCCATCTGGTACTTCTTCAGCGCCGCCTGAGGGGGGCAGCACAAAGTCAGCAGGGGCGCAGCAGAGCATGTACAGCAGATAGATCGGTCCAGCAGTGTTTTTATTTCAGAGCATTTGGCTCAACACCATCTAAACGCTCTAATGAGGAGGAAAAAATTAAAGTCCTTGGATGTTTATTTAAGATTGATGAGGGAAGAACTCCTTAATAGTTAACAGCAAGAAAATAATGTTGACCTAAAAATTTTAAAAAAAGACATTTTTGCTAATTCTTTTTTTTTCAGGTTTTGCATGTACTATTTACAGTGTCCAACCAACAGCTCACGAACCTGCAAATAACCTCAACAAACTGTATTTATTAGAACAAATCATGCAATTTTCTGTTGCAAAAGCTGAAGTAAGGCAAACCTCCTGTATATTTAGGAACAGCTGAAATAAACATTTCAATCTGAATCATGCTAAAAGTCCAAACAAGTTTTTCCAAATATATAATCCCTTATCTCTTCAGAAGCAGTAATTTAAGAGCATGGTCCTGCCCACAAACTGTTGAAACCACTCCGTTTTCAGGCTACTGATAAAAATAACATTACTGTTCTCATAAATTGTTGTTTTTTCATAGTCAAAAATCCGTATTTTTTACCCAAATGTCTTTAGCTCCAAGTTCCTTCTTTGATCTGTATCATCTTTGCTTTCCAGAGAGTTTCCAAATGTTTCCATTTACTGCTGATTACGGGAAGGTTGCAGCAGGTTTATCTGAACTCAGCAGCAGCATATTGATTGAATGTAGTGAAATACTGAGCCTAAAATAAGCAGCAAATGTGTTGTGAAACTTAAAACAAGATAGTTAAGGCAGGGATGAGATTTTTACAAGATCTTAAACCTCCCATCTGTCCATATTTTGTCACAAACCCAAAATAAACCTGGTTTTCGTTTCTCCGGCGGCAGCAGCAGCTTTGACTGAACGGAGGTCATTTGACGCCCCGTACAAGTAGACATACTGCTGCGGCGCACGCCGGCTCCTTTGACCTCATATTTCGAATCTGAACCGTGTGAGAAGAAGAAGAAAAGGTGCCTCACGTTCAGGTAGCGCGCGTCCAGCTCCACCTTCTTCTCCAGCTCTGTGAGGAGCTCGTTGTGGAAGGACTTCAGCTGCAAAAAACACAAGCACAGAAACGTCAACAATAACCCCCACAAACATGAAATAACACCAGCCTCAAGTTGTTCCATGTGGAAACCGCAGAAGAGGTATTTTTAAAAGTGGGATGTCTGTTTCAGTCCTGAAGGAAATGATTGAAAGACTACACACCCGGAGGGCTACAGAGGGATGTCAATCTGCAGTTTCCGCATGAGCAGCATGAACATCATCATGCAAAAGTACTCAACTCTATGAGTTTCATAGGATTTTACATGACAAACCACCACAAAGGATTATTTATTGGTGAAGTGGAAGAAAAACGATACATGGCTTCCAAGAGTTTCAAAAATATCTAGAAGATGATCTCAAAGATTCCCTAAGCTGGTGAAAACTTACAGATCAACCACAAAATTAATTTATTTGTTTCTTATATTAAGCTACACCACCTGCTGGCATAAGTAGGAAACTGCATGTGGAAAAAGTCCACAGACTGGAGCTTCCATCATAGGAATAACGTAAAACTCAGATTTTAATTGGCATTAAAGAAAAAAAAACATAAAAACTGTGAATAATTTTCTTCCCACTTGTTTGAATACTTTTGCAAAGCGATGTAAACCTCTGTGGGGATTCATATCACTATTGAAAAATAATGACAGACTTCAGGTGTAAGGTATTTGTGAAAAAAGTTGTGAAAAGCAGCCTCTCATGATGAAGCTGAGAATGATTTGCACATAACTGCATCTTGGACCAGTTATCCAAAAGAATAGGAACATTTGGAAACAGACTTCAAAATCATTCTTGAATGCATTTGTAGGCTGACTTGTTTCTAACGTCTCTGAATCAGTTGAGTGTTCACTGCAAATGTTCCCACATTTTGACAATTTTCTCTCCGATTTGGGTAAAGAACTGACATAAGAACCGTTTCACTCTGAACTCTTTGTGAATTACATATAATCAGTACCAATTTTCACATCCCACTGCAGCGGAGTCATCAGAAGCCGCTCGTCTCCCATTAAAAGGCTGATTTTCAGATTGTCAAACATTTCACGTCATTAAGCAAAAAGGCCACAATCTGTTTGGCTCCCAGTCCCAAGCTGATTTTAGCAACACCATCACCACATGCTCACCATCTCCTCAAGCTGGATCTGGATCTGTCTGTGCACTTCAGCCATCTGAAAGAGCACATCCCCTGCAGAGAGGAAAACAAAGAACAAAAGAGATGATTAACAAACAGAGGGAGGGGAAGGGAGAGAAGAGTGTGATATTAAAATCGTTCCAAATGCAGAAACACAGAGCGTGCAAAAAGAAACCCCGACAACAACAGAAACCATGCAGGCAAACAGAACGCATGAGAGACGGGTGTCGATGGAAGTGGCGGAGGGCGAGCTGGAACGTCTGAAGTGACAAGCAGACAAAACTTAAAACAGAAACGGAAAGCAAAAGAAATATGTTGCACAGATGTACTTAATGACAAATCAAAGAGCTGATTGAGAAACCTGCTGAAAGTGTTCAAACCAAGCTGCTACTTTATGAGAGTTGATCAATTCTATCACGAAAACAAAACAAAAAAATAATAAAATACTGACAGAAACAAAACCCTCAACTTTTTTTAATATAGGCATTAAGATGTATGTTGTGCTACAAGATAACAGGGGGGGACAACAAAAAGCAAACCCCAGAAAGAATAATTAACATCTTTAAGAAAACAAAACAAGAAACTAAAACATGATTCATGCAGCCATTGAGGTGTTTAAGATACCTACATGCTGCCTCTTCTGTATGTGCAACGCATCGTTTAAAAAAAAGAAAGAAAAAGATCTAGTTTGAGCAAAATAACACAGACCTGAAGAGACAGATCAAACTACCCTGAGAAAAAAAAACATGGGGCAAATGACAAGTTTTAAACAGAGAAAAAAAACACTTAGACACTCTGCTAATTTACACAGAAACCACATGCGGAGCTGCAGATCCAAACTTCACATCATACATAACTGCAAAATACAAAAATACCGACTTATTAGCCAAAAATTTACAATAATTTCAACAATTCTCTGGACAGAGGTGACACAACACATGGTAATTTATTACGGTAAGATGTTGCCTGAATCATCCACGAGGCTCGACAATTTAACTTTATATTCAGTGCCTTGGAAACATTTCATCCTCCTTTAACTTTAGTTTCTTTTGGGGGGATTTAATGTAGTAGATCAACACAAAGCAGGGTTTATCTGCAAAAATATATTTTTAAATGTTTGTCTTTCTCACAAACATCTGAAAATGCATTTTTAATGTCAAACCAAGGGGATGATTCATTACTAATTTATCAATTAGTTAAAGTTTATTTTGGTCTCTTTTCTTGTATGGGTTCAGTGTGTCCCTTAAATGACTTGTGAGAAAATGCAAACTGGACATTTAATTTTCCCCTTTCCATACCAGCCAGAATTGGGTAATGCATAACTCCCAGTTCTCCTTACCTCTCAGTAATTTGATTACAATTAACACACAGGAGAACTATAGTTACTAAAAAACGGACTTCATAGTGGGGATCTCCTTTGTGTTGGTTTCTCAAGTAAAATGTCAGTGAAATGAACTGATGTTTATTATTTAAAAACATGAAGTAGAAAAGTCAAAGTGGTGTGAATTTTCCATAGCACTGTATCCAACTGCACACTTTATTCCTGAACCCACCACTTAGAGGTGAAATACAGACAGCTTATTTAGTTTTTAATAAAAAACATTTTATGGAGTGCAACAATAGAAGCATACAGCTACAAAGCAGAGTGAAAATCTAGAAAATAGAGCAAAAATATACTTGAGGCCCGTAGTTTATGAACTGATAATAATAACCTGGCGGACTTCCGTGAAACCGTGAGGGATTCTGTAAAGCAGCAGCGCCAGTCCTATTTACTTTAAACGAGGCCGTCAACATACGTTAATGACCCTCATCTTTCTCCAGAGTAACGAACGGCAACAGCTTAATGCATGTCGCTCGGCTTTCCTCCTCCAGCTCTGCAGGGAGGCGAGCCAGCCAGCGGACCTGAAGACGCTGGACAGTCGGAGGGGACACAGAGTGGGCTGCATGGATGGGATTAGTGGGCTTAATGGAAGTGCTGCGGTCATGCAGATGAGACTCAGTTGCAGAAGAAGGGATTTAGTAAAGGCCAGAGCAGGAGGTGGACTGTTGGTAAAAACATATGTGCTTGTTCTGAAGTCCAGTTTGGACCAGATGGCTTCTTCTACAGCATCCAACTTTGTTGATGTGAACTTCTTCTTTCATGCTGCAATTAGGGCTGCAACTAACGATTTTTGTCAATTATTTGGACAATTAATCGGATACAAGAACTGCCACTTCCAGCAGATTTCTCATTTAACCACTTCAGCCCTTTTTATACAGTATAAAGAATACATACAAAATACAAAAAAATAGTTCAGTTTCTTTTTAAAATAAGAAAAACATTTTATTACCTAAAATGCAATGACTAAAATTTCTTTAGTGATTGCTTGGTCATTTTTAAATTGCCTTTTTTGGGGGGATTAAATCAGTTAATAATTTGATAGCAAAAGGTACTTAATAAGAAATTTGGGTTTTTTTTAAATGTGAAATAATTCTGTCACTTGAGGAGTTAGTGGTAGAACATTTGTACAAAAGGTTTTTTCATTGTTATTTTAAATGCAAAATGTACATATTTATGTTCAGCTTGGCCTAATTACTGCTCTGTTTTGAGTCTGTGTACTGCAGTTAATGATTAATCGATTACTAAATTAGTTGGTCATCATTCCTATAATCAAATATTCGTTTCAGGAATAACTTCAATGTTTAGGATTTTCTTCTGATTTTTATTCTTTTATTGTTCAACTATTAACTATTGTTAACCCCCAGAACAGAAACACGGGTGTAAAGGACACATATGGTTAGAAAATATTTATATGCAGAAGACAGAAACAGGAAGCAGTCGGTAGGAGTTTGTCACAGTACGACCTCTCATCCAATAGTCACCCTCCCCTCCTCCACCTTAAGAAAACACATCGACAGGCTGCGGACAGGGCACCGAGGCGGATAAATGCACCAATGTGCGCTTCCAAACTCTGCTTTGGTTCTTGGAGGGCACCCAACACACACTCCCACCCCATCCATTAACAAACAGCCAGAGGCCATCGACAGGCTGCATGAGGCAGGCTGAACTTGAGCGGCTCGATCACACACACAATTACACTGATGTTGACTTCGGCCTGAGGAGGGAACGGGATGCTGCATCCAAACTCGACCCGGAGAGACGGCTGCATGTTTGTGGTTAAATTATAACTTTGTCTTCATTTTAAAGTCCAACTTTACAGGCATGACAAATGAAGGGTGAGTTTCAAATATGTGAAAACTCAAAAGTTACAAAACTGGCATTACTTTCTGGAAATAAAGCCAGAAAGTCCAAAACTAAGTTTGAATAAAAAACAGTTGTGGGTCAACTGGTCTCATAAAACTGATGCATGTTGGAAATTTTGACTTTGTCCTGCAAGTTTTCATCCTCTGGAAGATCTTCAAATTTCTGGATGTTCTTGTTTTGTTTTGTTGCCTCCACCTAATCTAAAAATCTCCCCACCTTGCGTTGTGAAATATGGGACTTCTATTCACCAGACATAAGCTGCTTATCGTTAATCAGAGCAGATCTCAACATCTGAGGCTTAAGGGGGACCTAAAGCACATTGTTGTCCACTCACAGAGTGCACAGGTGGATCAATTATAGGACACACAAAGACCACTTTGTTTGCAAATTGTTCACAAGACCCAACAAAATACATTTGGGCTAGTTTTCAATTTTATGCTGCCATTTTGATTGGAATTTATTTTCTATCCATTTCATTTATTGCCACATATAATAAAACTAGTCCTTTTACATAACTAAACTTTCAGATCTTAAGAATTAAACCTGAAGCCTCCACTATAAGCACGTTGAGGGTTTGGGCCTCTCTTGTGCTTTTACAGGGGAAAACATGAACCTTATCCACCAAACTCCATCCAGCTGGTGTTCTTCAATTATGTCCGTTTGCACAGATCTAACTGCAGGCAGGAAACAAGCCCATTATTCATCAGGCCTCACCCAAGGACAGCGCCAACATCTGGGTTTATTGCCCCATCTACTTGCCATGCTCAGCAGAGAGCCGGAGACGGGGAGCAGTTAATGGCTGTGTGAAGGAGGGTGTTTTATGCAGTGTGCATCCCTACAGGGACTGTATTATAGGAGCCTGAGAGCAAACAAGCAGCTTTAATCCCCAGAAAGCTGCAGTGAGGGGAGTACAAGGTGCTGCAGGGAGATTTGCCCTCAAAGCCGCATGACTGACACCATTACCGTTGTGCTCATCTGGGCCTTTCATTTTGCTAAACCAAAACACCTGGGGAAGGGCCCCGATTCTCCACAGACAAACTCACAATGCAGAATTAGTGTTTACATGTGAAGCATCTGACTGACTGCGAGGTCTTTGAACTGCTGCCCTAACAAAGCCTTGCAGATCTGATGCTGAGATCCATTTACCTGCGAAGTGGGAGCTGTGGGCCGAGTCCGACATCAAGCCGAGGTAACAGCGTTCTAGATAAGTCGCAATGTCAAAATGGCGACACCTGTAAACATTGTTCGCAGCAATTCTTACAAATACTAAAGCTTTATTTTCCAAAGAAAGCATCAATTTCAGTTCAGTTCTAGGTGCCACATGCGATTAGTGGTGGGCGACTTTAAGTTTTATTACTTATTAATATTTTGGGGTAACAATAAAAACTATTACTTTTTTTTTGTATAGCTATGACTGTATAATACAGCCATGCTAACACAAATGATGTTAGAAAACATCATTAGTTACCAAATCACATAAAGAAGTGCGATTTGTGTCATTAAACTGCACACAGTAACTGCATTTAGTCATTTTTGTCCAGGCTTTCATTGAACAAACAGTGATGAAAATGGTAAAAATTACAATCCTGACAATACAGAGAGTTTTGAGGGATTTTCAACATCATTCAGTGGAATTTATTGAGACAACAATAAATCAGAAGTCTTAATTAATCACAATAAACGATGCAATAAATCCCAAACCCTACATTTCAGACACACTGTTAGATGTGTCTTGTAAAATAAAAATGTTTCCACCACAACTTACCACTATTTAAGCGAGGAGCAACCATAACAAGTCACAAAGTCTGGC